GGGGGGGGGGGGGGGGCAGGTCGGGGAAGAGGCTGGTAGAACTTATACGTTCTATTCTTCTCAATTCATTAACGAAAACCAGAAATAGTCAAGACCTTAAAGTCTTTTTTTTTTTTTTTTTTTTTTTTAATATAGTAAGAGTATTTCTTGTATATGTTTCTAATACGAAGAACTCTGGAAGAGCCACCACTGACTTTTCTTAGGTGTCTCTATAGCATTCTTTGTATGTTTTGAGCACAACCTCCTGAATTCTGCCTTTTTTTAATTCCTCAGTAATAGAACTAGGTAACACCAGATTTTGAATAAAGATGCTGTATCTCAAAGCTTATCATTAGACTGTGGGTGTGTAGATACGCACACAAAATGTGGGTGTGGCAGCTGATCACTGTAATTGTTTGAAGCAATATAAGTCAAAGTTACTAACTTTCTTTTATTGCGAACTAACTCGTACCTGGCTGCCGCAATGCTGGTGATGCTGTGGCACAACAGGTACCATGCAATTTTTGTGTCCTACCTGCAACTTCCTACGTTAGTTTAGGACTTTTAAAACCCCTTTCTAGTCACCTAACTTTTTATTCTTTCTTTTGTGATAATGTTATTTCAGTAATCCTTGCCATTGTTGATTTCCTAACTAGAGGAATATTCGAATATTAAAGTCACTGAGAGAAAAGAACTACCTTTAAGACCTTTATATATGATGATTAGTCTAGAAAAATTATACAGGCCTACTAAAATGATTCCTTACCTTTTAATTGTTTTTCCATGCACAAATAATGTTGGTCAAATTACCTGTTTTGGGTAATTAGGGGATGTGGGGGGTGTGTATTGTTGTTTGTTTGCTTTTGTTAAGAGGACTTAAAACTTTGAAGAACATGTATGTCGTATTTGAAAAATCTATTGCTTCACAAGCAACCTGTCAACCTTAACATGTTTTTAACTCTTCCTCTGATTTGAATTCTTATATAGCTAGTGTAAACCTGGTGGTTTAGGTGGAGTTAAATCTTCATAGTTGCAGGTCTCTAGAGATGTTAACATAATCTTATCTATAAATGCCTGAATAATAATATAATAAATTATTGTGCTTATTAAAATGCTTGTAATAGAATTCTCAGATACAGTTCATGCAATGTGTGATGAGCTTTGGTAAAGTCTTGTGAGATGCTGAGAAAACCTTGGAGAATAGGTATCTTCAGCTAATGTTGAAATTGCTGAAAGCCCAAATCTCAATCTTCAAAAACTGTCTTTTAGATGCTGGTACTTTTTTGTTGAAATTGAGGGCAACTTGTATGGGAGCTACATTGGGATGTTTGTATTCCATTTGACAGTTTCCCTGTCTACAGTGTATACTTCACATTTTTTTAATTTGTCTTTTTTTAACCTAAGTGTGCATGGCTTAGAATACACTGTATAGCATCTGTTCTGCTAAATAAGCACTTCTGTATATTTTTGTATGGTGTGCTAATCTGGTTGCATTAGTACAAATGGCTGTAATTCACAAAAAGTGCCATTTACCAGTCATACTCTGTAGTGTTGTGAATGTTACCCCTACTTCTGTTGTACAAATGTGCTAATGAGTGTCGTGATGAATGTTTGCCTTTAGTCTTTGCTCAGGTACTCATGTGGAGCAGTTTGGTGCTTTCCCTTCTAATTTGTAATACTTGGGATTCTAAGCAGAAAATAAAAACAGTGAACAAAGACATTGTGATGAGAGCACATTACTTTATGTAACAGACACTTTTTTTTCACATCTTGAGTAGAATACAATAAAGATGGCACCTTATGAAGCTTGTCTCAATATCTTATCTCATGCACCTGAGGCTGTTATACCTGCCTTGTCATCATGAATGGGAAATGCAATACAATGGAAGATGTTTGGTGAATACTACAGTTTATATAGAACATTATATGTATAAAACTTGCTCTACAGCTAAACTGATTAGTTTTAAGTTTGCCTTTTGTTCTAGAACAAGGTTTTTACCTTTCTAAAGTAACTTGCATGAAACTGAAGAAGCAAAGCTGTGAGCATTTTCAGCTTCCGTGCAGTTTAATTCAAATATACAGGAATATTACTGTGCCATAAGGGCTGTGTAATTAGTATAGCCACTTTCAAAAGATTAGATTTACTGAAGATGTGTGTCTATATACATAATTTGTCAAGGAAAAGCTAGTACTTAAATTTGGCTGCATTCAAAAGGCAACACACAAGCATCTGGCTTGGAAAGCATTTGCTAAACTCGATACTGTTCTCAAAGGAGGATGCAATTTTGTCTAATCAGTGTAGCTATACTAATAGCATTTTAATATGAATGTGTTCCACTTACATTTGACTTCCACTGAAGGAAAGAGCTGTAATGCAATTCTTTTAAACAAACAAAACAACCAAAAAACTTTGGCAAAAAAAACTAACCTTACCAAAAACCCACATTAAAATGAGTACTAAGTCTGAACAGACTTTGGCTCAATTTCTCAAACCCTTGTAGCTCAGAAAGCAGCAATGTAGGGGTTTTTTTAAGACAGCTCACAGAAAATACATGCTAATTCAATCTCTTGCATATCTGCGTACTTCATTAGTCAACCAAACTGCCTAAATTCTGTTGGGGGTAACGTAATAGTCCAATTGTTTCAAATTTACAGATGGCTTTGCTATGTTTTACTGGCTGAATATACTGCATATCCCCCAGGTTTTTCTTTCTGAATAAATCAAATGAATAAAATAATTGAGGGGGAGGAGGGAGAAGAAGATGGAAGAAAACCGCTTGTTGTTCTGGCTGTATTTTTTTTTTTTTTTCCTCTAGAGGAACATATTCTTACTTCTGGTTGATTTAGAAGGTCAATTGTACACAAAATTAAACTGGAAATAAGTACCTACCTAGAAGATACACAAAGAAAGTTCCCTTACATTGGGGCCTGCCTTTTTACAAGCTCTTCTGTTGCTACTGCTGTTCTGGTTCTTGATGAGTCTGCTACCTGGACGTTTTCTATTATGAATAGTTAATTTATGGATTTTGATGGATTTTTATTTTTTGATGAGGTTTTTTTTTTATTCCACATCTAGAAAACTATACAAGCTGAATAAGTTGATTTGTATTTGTTACTGCAGTCATTAAAATAACACTGCTAGGATTTTGTTACCTGTGTTACTAACGGCGTTTGGATATCCACAGTTTAGTCTGCCTGGAAGGGGTGGTGTTAGGTTTTTGGTTTGCTTTCAAATTTTAAACCAAAGAAAGATGTAAAGCTTCTAGTCAGAAACAAACATCTATATTCTGGAGTAAGATAATGGCCAAAGATCTCTAGTTTTAACATGTCTATTTAGAGACATATTTTTATGTGATACTAACTAAAGTGTCGTCTAAGTAGCAGAGAGAAGAGTATAATGAAATTATAAGCAAAAAATTCAAGCAGCTTTGAGATGAAGGATGCTAGGAAATAAGGTGAAGGTAAATTGGCATAGTCCTCGTTGCAGTCTTTGTCTTAGTTTCTAGTCTGACAGGAGGATATTGACTGCCGATAAAATCAGGGTAGGAAAGCAACAATTTCATTAAAATAATTCGCCTTTGGATCTTGAACAGACCTTACTTTTCTTTCTCCAGCTTCAAGAAAACGATCCATATCTCATCTTGCTTGAAATCCACTCAACCAGCTGTAATTATCTTTTAGTCACCATTCTAGAGACATGGCTAATTACTTTTAATTAAAAGTAATATTTTGCTACAGCTCTGCTATCTCTGCTGGGAATTGTTTTAAACTTCTTATATGCTTACCACCAGTTTTCTGCACTATGGTTTAGGGAGGAGGAATTTGCACTGCACTTGTTCGATAGCAACAGGTCTTAAGAGTATTAAGGGTGAAATTCTCGAGGGTCTTTATGTCATGGATGGAAATGGAATCATTACTGTATTTTTGAACTCCTGCTAACGTCACTGACACCCACCTACAGTCCACTAGAAATATAAGTGCAGAGATCAGTTCGTTCACAGATTACAAGGAGACTAACCAAGAAGGGGCAAGCCAGAGCCAAATTCACTGGTAAGCTTTATTTTAAAGAACATGAAAGGGAGGTGTTTTGTTTTGTTTTTTCTTGAATCAAGTTGTGAAATGGGTCTCTAGTATGTTATACCAGACTGTATTATTGCACTTACTAATATACGTAATACTTTTTCATTTCATGCAGTTTTAAAAATTGAGCTATCTGGTTCTCAAGCATATTTTTGCATTCTCCGTGGAGCACACAAATCTCTGATGCTGTAACTAATCAGTCAATGAAAATAACAAATGTAAAACAAATATAAGTATTTTGCATAAAATGTCATACTGCTCCTTTTTGAATAGAGAATTATGTGTCTAGAAATAGCTTTGGTATGGGAAACACTTTTTTAGAATAATTAACTCTTCCTAATACATTAGTATAAAACCAAAAAAGTCGATAGCACACAGCTGTAATCTGTAGTAGGTGAGTTTTCCTTGCCATGGATAAAATTATTTCTGCACTCCACTGGATTGTGATGCTTGCTCTGTTTGTTACCAGTGATGGTTCTGTAGGACTTCAGGAGTCTGGTTCGTTGTCCTTCTTACAGATAGTCTGTTCATCTCTTCAACATGTGGAAGGTGGTGCTCCTGGGTCTATACACAGTATTGGCTGTGAGGGGATTGGCGAAGGGTGCTCCTTTCCAACCAGAAGAAAAGTGGAAGCCTCTAGATAACCCTAGAAACAGAGACCTGGTAAGAAAATACTGCAAGAAAGATAGCCTGGGTGGGTTTTGTGGGTTTTGTGTTTTTCCATCGTGATAATTTTTATCTTCTAAATATAAAGGTAAGAGGAGTCCATTAAGTGCAGCATTAGTAACTGTGCACTTTGTGTAGTCAATAACCACAACAGTCAAGATGTACCCCTTAACTGAAGAGACCCTCTCTCTTCAGCAGAGAGGCATTCAGCAGTGCACAAAACTTCCTTGTATCTCTATCCAGCAGCTTTAGTTTCTAAAAATGTATTTTGATTATACAGTCACTCATCTTGTGAAACAGAAGAGGAATGATTATTGTGTTTCAGTCAAATATGTACTCTGTTAATTGCACGTTGTCTCATGTTCTGGAAGTACAAATAGGTTTGCACCTGACACATTGTCATGACTAGTAGCTAAAGATCTGAAAGTTAATTACAGCTAAGAAAATATCATTAAGGGAACATTTGCAAGATCTTATGAGGAATTTTTGAAGGAAAAGAAAATCAGTTTCCCACAATTTTTTCCTCACTTTTTAAGAAGCATTAATTTCTACTTTTAAGCGACCTAAAGGGCCCGTTGAAATCAATTGCTCCCTGTTGCTAACTCTTAGAGCAACGTGTAACAGGACTGTACCGTTTGCCCTTAGCAGGGGCTTTGCTGTGCCCCTTTTTATATGGGAATCAGTTTGAATCTTCTGTGGTTCAGTGGGGAGCACAGATGATCAGTAAACAGCTGGGGGCCTTTCTACACCACGTAAGGTGTACAAGCCATGGACAGAGTGGACACGTCTGAATTATATTGCCTGCATTGTACCAATTTATAATCAAAATAGAGGATTTCATCCCACATAGGAACAAATATTGCATCTACTTTGAGTCAGTAGAAATAATTAATCTCTGTTGGGCATGCTCTATTTTCACATAAGAAATATGTTCAGTTTTTCAGAACACTCCAGGCCTATTTTTCGGGCAGGGGTCTTGATCTCAGAAAGTTCCCAGCTACTTTCACTATGAACAATGAAGGACCAAGGCCTGTCACGTTCTACTCGGATCCTATTGCTTCTGCATTTGCAGATTATGAAGAAAGGAGAAATTCTTTTCCAAATTATTTCAAAGGCTGAAAGATGCTGCTGACCAAGGTAAAAGGATGCCTTTTCCCCTAACATTGTTACATGTAACCAAGTGAAAGATTTGGATTCTAGTGATTCTCATTTCTGTCTGAAGTATAAAAACAACTTATTTTTCAGAGGAAAGCAAAAAATGTAGCACCTGAACTCTTACTTGAAGTTGGTGTGAAATTGTTGAGGCAGAGATTTAGAAGGTATTCACTACTGTGGTAAAATAACACATGGTGCTTGTGCAGACCTACGTAGACCATGCTTTTTTTCTTCTTCTTTTTCCTCCCTTTTTTTCATGTGGAGAAGAATTCTGAAAAATGTATAGGTAATAGAGAATGTGGGTTTTATTTAATTAATTGATATCAGTAAAATTATAAATTGAGACTAATGATTTCCTGTGATATATGTATATTAAGGAAGTTAATTTAGACATAAGATGCTACGCTAACAAAGCATGCATCATGTTTTACATCTTTGTCCATTCATGCCGCTTTCTTTATTTCTACCACTAAAATTGAAGGTTGAATAAAATGATTTGCAAACTTATTCACATCTCTCCATAAATATGAAATAACAGTGAAGTGGGTCAAGCTTGCATTATTAATGAATCCAGCCTCAATTTATAGTGGGAACTTTTCAGCTGTTTTACCTATGCATAACCGTACTCTGTAACAAATAAATCCTTCAATACCTCACTTTGAGAGATAGTGAATACTGGCAGTTCTGAGCAAAGGTAAATAGTTGTTTTCTCCCATTTTACAAATAGTTGAAGATATCAGTAAGATTTGAATCTAAGCATTTCGGTGGTTTACCCAGTATCTTAGAGATTCATTTGAAATCAATATTCAGTTTAGGATTTTTAGCTCTGTCCTGCTCCCTGCCTACTTAAGCGCTTCTTCTGTAATCAAAAGCACAGCTCCACTATTCTTATTATCATGAAGACTGTACCTAGATTTTAATACTAAGTTCTTTTTTTGCCACGTTTGTCTGCAAACACAAAAAAACGCACTCTGCTGGGTATTGTGCATGCCAAAGAAAGTAGAAGAGACTTCAGAAGGGATGCTGTAGCTCTACTCTAAGTTACAGCTACTGTGAGGAAATGACTGGTGGAAGTAATTTATCCTGCATAATTCAGGATGGTCACTGTAGTTTTCTTCTTCTTTTCTTTTTCAGCCAGTGTTACCAGGTCTTGGCTTAGATATAAATATTTATATATTTGTTTCTCATCATCTTCTTTTTTTTTCTTTTTTCTTCTCTTTTTCAGGCGTTAACTTTTGAACTTCATGTGAAGTGGTAACCTTCTCAGCAAAATATTACTGCTTTGACTTTTTAACTGTTACCTGACAACTTAAAAGTTTTCCTCACTGTCACAGGTTTTACCTGTGGAATCTGATGCCATGCTGTAATTAGCACGTTTGCTGTCTATTGGCAGATGTTGTCATGTTTGGCTGTTGCAGTTTGCCTGCCAGAACAGAATCGTGTTTGTTTAAACGTTGAATAAATGACGAGTGCAACAGAGTGCTTTGAGCTACTGCTGCCTGCCTTTGTTCGGAATTGGTAAATAAATGTTGCCTTTCAGTTATTGGAGCTAAACATCATAAACTGGTTTGCAGTGATTTTTTTTTTTATTTTTTTAAAAAATTTCTGGCAGTCCTTTATCAGCAGTCTTGTAGGTTTTTTGGTTGACTGGAGGGAATGGGGTGATACCCGCCCTGTGGGCCCTACGGCTGCTTGTGCCTCACCCCCTGCCCCTCACCCCCCTTCCTGACCGTGCCCCGGTCCATAAATCACCCGCAGGGTAATCCTACGGCTATATGAAACTCAGAAACCCTGCTCCTGTAAAAATAACACCTATTTCTGAGGAAATAGGTGTCTAGAGATGAGGTGGTCTAACACCTTACGGTGAGGGGCCGCCCTCGCGCCTCCTGCCCTCACGCCGCTGGGCCCCTCCGAGGCAGCGGGCCCCGCCTGCCGCCACGGCTCCCCGGGCTCGGGAAACTCTCAGCAGCCCAGACCGCACCGGCCGCCCGGTCCCCGGGGAGCGACGCTTCTTCCCCCGCCCCGCGGCGGCAGCGCCGGGCCGGGCCCTGCCGGGGCGGAACTCGTGCGTGAGGGCGCGGAGCGGGCCGGGCGCCATAGCGGAGGGACCCGCGTCCTGCTCTGAACAGGGCCCCCCTACGCCCGCTCTGCGGCTGCTCCCGCTGCCGGGTGGCGCCGGCGCGATGTCGGGCTTCAGCCCGGAGCTCATCGATTACCTGGAGGGGAAGATTTCCTTCGAAGAGTTCGAGCGGCGGCGAGAGGAGCGGAAGAGCCGGGAGAAGGTGAGGCTGCCCCTCCCGGCCCGGCCCGGCCCGGCCCGGCCCGGCCCGGCCCGGCCCGCTCCCGCCCTCCATGGCAGCATCTGGCTGCTTCAGGAGCTGCGGGGCTTCCTCTCCTTCGTGTGGGGAGAGGTTTACGTTAAGTGCTGGTGCGCTGAGCTGTGGGTTGCTGTCTACATAATTGATCATTTCTGTGCAAAAATGGCAAGGAGCTAACTTTAATTGGTAAGGGTCGTTAGGGCCTGGCTGGTGGAGCAAGGTGTTCAGGGGTGCGGGATGGAGCATGGTGCCAGCCTGGCTCGCCTCCCTGGGCTTGGTAAAAGCTCGTTAGGCAGTTCCCTTCAGCACCATAATTAATTTCTTCTTCAGGCTGGAGCAGCGAGCAGAAGCAGGTTGTAATATAAAATCACCCAGCATATACTGCTGCTGCTCCCCCACTGTCTTCTGTGTGAGGTCTCAGGAGGCAGCACAGTTGGACTCCTTTTGGTAATCACTGCTTCTTGGCAGCAGTAAATACAGGGAGACACAGCTTTGTGTCTAAAAGTAAGCAGATGGAGGCATTATGAAAAATTCTCTGTGCTTAGGTGGAGTATTGTAGCTAACTTTGCTGTCTTTATGTCAAAATGCAACTAAATTTCTGTATTTTCTCAAGAGAACAAATTCAGCATAACTAAGCTGTCATGGAAGGACAAGTAATATTCGAGGGCAACCTTCTTATTGCATTTACAAGTGCTATTTTGATATTTCGTTTTGTGTTTAAAAAGGCAGGCTTTGTCACACATTTGTAACTTTAATACAGTCAGCCATGTCATCTTACCTCGCTGTAATGCCAAATAAGCAATAGACTAGTCTCTTCAGTCAAAAGTAATGTGAACACTCACCATCTGAGTTACCTCACATTGATAAGAATATAAATGTCTTGAGAGCAAGTAGCACTGGGTTTTGTTAGTTTAAAAATATAGTCTTATTCCACCTGTTTCACTAGCTGTGCGAAAGCTGGGAACCCATGGTTTAAATGCTAATTGTAAGTATTAGGTGAAATAGGAATGAGTCATGTTATGGAGCTGATAACTAATATTGTTGGTGTGCACAGGATGGCGAAAATGCGTCTGCTGAGGAAAACACTGAAGATGTAGAGGGTCCATCTTCATCCAAAAAAGCATCCGGGAAATCCCAAAATCAAGATGAAACTGATGGTAAGTGTTAACGTAATAATTTCAGTGAAAAATATATTTACGAGGTCATTGAAAGCATTTGCTCTTCGATAGCTGACTTCTAACGAATGTCTGGTGGCTGCTTTTGAACCTGTGGGTGTTGAAGCACATCATTAGAACGTATATCTTTGTAGGATGTTCCAAGTCATAGTCAGGATTTTGTCTTAAGGGGCTACATCTGGCCAATTGGTCATCTTTTTCTAGGAAACCTCCATTTTTCCCCTCCTGCCTTCTTAACTACGTGGTCACAATTATTTACTCTCTCTAAAGTTACAAATAATTTGAAAGTTTTAAATTTATTTCAAAAAGTCTTCTCTCCATTTTGTTTTGGCTTTTTTCCTGTTCGTCTCTTTGCTGGTTTTTTGCCAAGACTTGAATGCTTCAGAATATTTGATTCTACTGTGTCAGTGTCGCCACCTTCCATTGTTATCCAGAGTGAAATAAAATAGATAAAAAGAGGAGTTTCTTTTTTTTCTCTGTGTGTTTTCTCCTGCTCAGTTATCCTTTGGCCTGTCTAGACTGCCTATGTTTATTTCTCTTCTTATTTTCTGCTGGATATTCCTAGCTACGGGTTCCCTGGCTGCCTTTCTTTGTGCTGTGGTGGTAATATCTCCTTAGATGCCTCAGCAAAATAAGCCTAAATTCCTTGGCGTTCCTGCCTAGTGAAAGGACATGCAGGAAGTGGTAGAAGCAGCGTTTCTCTCTCTGGTTTGTATCAGTGCTTGTTGATCCCACGCCTCAGATTCTGGATTTGAGCTTGGGATTTAGAGTGCTGCCGTCCCAGACTCCTCTTGCTATTTTCACTGCAAATTCTCATAATTCTGTCTTTTTTTTTTTCTTTTTTTTTTTCTTAAATTTCAAAAATAGGCCTTAAATTGTTTCACCAAAAACGTGTGTCAGTGGTGCCTTGAGTTTAAAAGTACGGCCAGGCCTCTTCTTAGCAGGACAGAAAATGGAGGCTGGCAGTGTGGTTGGAGCCAGATAACTGTGCTATTTTCACTGCAAATTCTCATCATTCTGTTTTTTTTTTTTTTTTAATTAAACTTCAAAAATAGGCCTTAAATTGTTTCACCAAAAACGTGTGTCAGTGGTGCCTTGAGTTTAAAAGTACGGCCAGGCCTCTTCTTAGCAGGACAGAAAATGGAGGCTGGCAGTGTGGTTGGAGCCAGATACCTGTGGTTCCTTATTGACCCCTTCTTTTTGCTGATGTCTCTGAAATACTTCCAAGCCGCTCTTCTCTGCTCTGTATTCCACCCAAACTGTTAAATCTTTTTTTCATTGCACATGATCTTTATCTCAGAGAAAACATATCCTCATAGATTTGTGTGGTATTATTACTCCTGTTTTTACTACAAAGAACAAGTCTTAGGAGCAGTCAGAATTAAGGAAGCATTGGTAATATTTATCACTATTTAAAGAGTTGATATTAGAATCAAACTTAAGATAGTCAGAAGAAAAATGTTAGAGAAGGTCATTGTTAAAACCACTTTTGATACATGAATCTTCAGAGCTAACCTGCTCCAATATTCAGATGATTCCAGCAGCCAAGCATACTGAAATAAAAAGGAAATTAAATTCATAATTAGGGTTTTATTCTGATGGGAGGAAGAAAAAAAGTCTTGATTTTTACATGATTAATCCAAGTCAGAATAAAAATAACCAAATACATCCCAGTCAGAAAAAAAACCCAAAAAAACCCAAACATGAACTCGGGTCTAGTACCCAATTCCTTCTCATATATATGCAATATAGAATAGATTTGTTTTTCAGTCACAACTTGATAGTGTGGTTATTCTTTTATTAGATCTTTAGATGCCCAAGCCCCAGCTGAAACCTTTCAACTCTACATATTTTGATATTTTGCATAGATATAGACTTGTGGACGACGGTTATAACCATGGGTTAACTTACTAATGAAAACTTGTAATTAAAAAATGTGAAAATTTTTTAAATTATATGCTTTAAGCATATTTATTTTTGATACATAGCATCGTATTCTTATTTACTTTAAAGAATTTTCTTATTTGTTTTTCCGGTGAAATGTGAGTAACCTGGATTTTGCATTTACACACGTTAAGAGTTACTTATTGTCATGGATAGAATGGTTACAAGATCTTCTTTTAAAATACCTCTAAAAATTGGTTGCTGCATTATTGTTTAGTATAATTGTCTGCTCACTTAGCCTCTTCAGCTGAAAAGCTTTATGCCATCCAACCAGTTCAGTGCTTGAAAATTGCTGTAATACGCTTTTCCTGTATGGATTGAGAAAAATGTTGAGTAAACTGTTGCTTTGTTCTGTGTGTTCCTCCATGCTTTCACTTCAAATATCCAAAAAATGTCAGAGGCTGGGGTATACTAAGCATTGGTGATGAATAATGCAGAGTTTTAAAACCAGAGAGATTGTTAATAGTTTTTCTGCATTTCTGCAGGCCTTTTTCTTATAGAATAACTGTTTCAAGTGGACTGCTAATTATGAAGAATTCTTTCTTCTCTCCACTTGTCCTGATAAGCACTGTGTACTCTTGATTGTATCATAAACCTGTTTTGCTTCTTTCTCAACCAGGAGAAACTTCAGATGGTGTCAGTAAATCTGTTCATCGGGTCTTTGCATCCATGCTCGGGGAAAATGAAGAGGAGGAGGATGAAGAGGAAGAGGAAGAAGAAGAAGAGGAAGAAGAAACTACAGAGCAACCCACAGCTGGAGATGTTTTTGTGTTGGAGATGGTACTTAATCGAGAGACCAAGAAAATGATGAAAGCAAGTATTTAAACTTTCACATAACTTCCCTGTATCTCCTGAAGCACAGTGCATAAACACCAGTTTGTGTGATTTTAGCTACTTGCTGAAAAACTTGCCTGAAAATAGTTCTGTGTAGGACACTTCTGCTTGTGTTGGTGTTGCTTGTCTTTGCTTTTTAGAAAAGTACGTAGATTACTCTTCGAAAACTTTCGAAAAGAATGAAGTGATTTTTCCCAGTGGCTGGATTTGTGTTTGTGTTAGATATCAGAGTTACTCTGGCAGTTATGAAAACATTTTGGTCAGCCATTTTAATATTGCTACTACTTCAATAACTTGTTACTGGATTGTGTTAAGCACAAGTGTGACTGATGTCTCCTGAATTTGGGCCCAACCGAATCCTCAGTATAAATAACGTTCCTTTTCCATGTAGGAGAAGAGACCTCGCAGCAAACTTCCTCGTGCCTTGAGGGGCCTGATGGGAGAGGCCAATATCAGGTTTGCTCGAGGAGAGCGGGAGGAGGCCATCCTGATGTGCATGGAAATCATTCGACAAGGTGGGTTAGACTGAGAAAACCTTTTGGCTTTAACGATGGGGTGGAACTGCCATGAGCATCAGGAAAATTCAGTGCGGTTTCACTGATGATGGAAATACTCTGTACGAGGAATGTCACTGTATAAGTACTGAGGAATTAAGAATATGTAGTGCATTTTCTTTATTATTTTGCTTATAAAAAGAAACCAGCACCCTAATTCTGCAGGGGCTTGGGCCTTTGCTTAGCTTGACACAGTTTGCTTTTATTGTCTTTGTAGAACCAAGAGACAAACATCAGCATGACTTGCAATGTAGAATAATGGTGTAACTGCTTGTGGTTAGATTCAGTCAGGCTGATTAATAATTTATAAAAAGGAATGGGAAGCTTCTCTGCAAGCTTGTTCTGAATTTAAATAGAGCGATGTTGATATTTCATATAATTCTGTTATCTTTGCAGAAAGACAAGTTACTTGTTTTCATGGTTGTCAGGTTGTTTTAAAACAATAGTTCTTAATCATTCTTCTTGTCTTTATACAGCTCCTCTTGCTCATGAGCCCTTTTCCACTCTTGCCATGATCTATGAAGACCAGGGTGATATGGAGAAGTCATTACAGTTCGAACTGATTGCAGCTCACTTAAACCCTAGTGACACTGAGGAATGGGTTAGACTAGCAGAAATGTCACTGGAGCAGGACAATATTAAACAGGCTGTTTTTTGCTACACAAAAGGTAGAGTAGCAACCATTTTAATATTTTAAAATAAAGTTTTGTTGCTAATGGCAATCATTTTTTTTTTCTTCTGCTTTCTAATTGGATTGCTGCAGTTTGCTAAGATTCTGGTACCTCTGTCCAGAATCTTTAATACAGGATGTTCTTTTTGTACCAACAGCTTGTGCGTGTCCACTAACATTCACCTCTTCAGGTAGTTGAGTGTGAAATCCGTTGTTGCCTTTTCCTAAGACAGGCTACTAATAGCCTTTTTCTTGTTGTAGCTCTGAAATACGATGCGTCCAATGTGCGTTACCTGTGGGAGAGGTCAAGCCTGTATGAACAGCTGGGGGAGCACAAGATGGCTATGGATGGCTACAGGCGTATTTTGAATCTCCTGTCTCCCTCTGATGGAGAGCGCTTTATGCAGTTGGCTAGAGACATGGCAAAGTAAGTTGGACTTAAAAATAGCATGATTTGGTTCTCCAGAGTTTCTCAAAAAGCAGCTCTGCAGCTGATTCAAGCTGGGTATGCAGCTGAAATCAAGGGATGCTGGTGGTGACCCATACACAAGCATGCACTTCCCAACTATTGTGATATTTACGAAGCCTGACGTGTGAATTACGCTGTGTAGGACCAGTGCATCATCTTAGAAGTGTTGCATTCTTTTAGAGTAAGGGAATAAAATGCAAATACTGATTGCTGGAAAGATGCCAATAGTACATAGTAATATACAAATGCAATACATTTTGTATCTATGTAATATCACTGGAGACCTGGAAACTTGTCCCCAGCAAATATGAATGAAACAAACTCTTCAATCTAAAATACAAATAATTTGCAACAGTATATAGTTTATATGTCATTTGTGATTTGTTTCTGGAGCAAGTAAAAATCTGCCTCCTCCCCTTTTCTCCTAGTGAAAGCAGATCAAGTCATAGAAGCTTGCCTGAGGCAGAGCAGGATTGTGGTGTAGCTCTCTTAACAGTTTTTAGTAAGCTGTTTAACTACTTTATATCTCAGCTTTTGCACGCAGAACTTGTGGAAAGCTGTTACTGGCCTGTTTCAAAGCAGTTTGTGAAGTCTTTTCATGTTCGTGGTTGAGAAACACACACAAAAAAATATTGCGAGAAAACGTGTTTTAACAATAATATTATTGAAGGTTTCTCTGAAACCAGGTTAAAGCAACGCATCATTCATATCTGGCTTGAAGTGGGTGATACTGTAATGAAAACTCCAGTGATGTCCTAACATACAGGACAGAAAATAATGGTAATTATTTGAAATACATAAAAATTGTCAACAGTTCTAACGAAAGAAAAAACACCCTCTTTCTCACTATCTTTTGTAACTTACTGTTGCTAATAAAAATATTTGCTAATAGACAAAAATAAAAGAAAGAGAAAAATCATTTTGCTAATATTCAATGTACATCCTATCATTTATGTTAAATACTTAGCATCTCATATCTGTGTTTTATAGGAGTTATTATGAAGCAAATGATGTGACCTCTGCTATTGAGATAATAGAAGAAGCCTTCACTAAACACCAGAGCCTTGTCTCCATGGAAGATGTCAATATCGCAGCTGAACTATATATTTCTTCCAAACAGTATGACAAAGCATTGGCGGTATGGAGAATTACATATATTTCTATACTGTGTTCAGCACCTCTTTGCTAATCAGGGTGGACAGTTGATATTCCTGTAGTGCTTAGGTATGGTCATGTTTCTATGGTGATAGAGCTGATCAGATGCTACTTTCTGTTAGTTCTGTAGCAATTAGCATTTAAGTTAACAGCTTGATTTAAGAAGTTGTGGGCTGATAGACTTATATGCTGTTCCAGATTTAAAATTTTGGGATCCTTCCTCTCCTCTACAATTGCCATAAGCTCAGTAGCCAAAGAAGACCTATGATCTGTTTTTGTGAGTGCTACTGGCAAAGGGCATTCTCTAAGTTGAAGGTTAAACGGATGACACTCAGTCGTCTAATGGTTCAAATGCAGACTCTTGTTGCTTTATCTGGCATACTTGTGTTACAACTAATAATTTATGCATTGAGCATCAAGCACACATTTGAGAAAGGCAATACATCTTGACTCTAAGGCATCAGGAATTGGAGAAGATGGCTTATCTGTTCCCAATTTGTTCTAGTGGTTTTTAACCCTCACTTTTGAGGCATGTTTCCCAGTTGACGTGATCTGGCTTTGAGAAGAAAGTCTTTAGTGTCTGGCCATTGTTATACTTTCCCAGGTGGATTGAAAAGACACTAATAGTTGGGACTTTCACCTTGTGAACGTTCTTATTTGCTGATTTTAATTACCTCTTTTTTATTTTCTACTTAAGATTTTATTTAGATCTATCTCTGTGTAAAGCATGACTAGCCTGCAAACAATTCTTCTGACCCTTCTCTATATTTCTTCCCATTTTAAAAATCAAACAGTTAATTTTATGTACCCAGTATTCAGCAGCCAGATTTATTAATACAGTACTCAATTGTAGAACTGTTCCCCTGTTTCTTTTTGATGGTTCTCCTCAGGTCTGTTCCTGTGATTTTTGTTCCTCGATAGCTGAATCTGTATTTCAGCCGGTAAACTGAGCCTTAAAAAAATAATTATCTTAATACGGTCATCTGGTATGTTCCTCTAAGGACCATGTACTCTGTGTTTATCACTCATGTTTTGGGAACAGTAATGACTTAAATATTTACTTTACAATTCATGAACAAAAGTACCAAACTGCATTGGGTCTTAGACAAACAGCCCTTTACACTTGTGCATTTCCCTCTCGCACCTCCCCGTTGGCAAGTGAATGTCTTGAATTGTGTATCTTTGATTTTTGTTTTTTAATTAGTTGTTCTATTGAATTATACTACTTTAATTGAGGTCATGATTTATATGACCAGGGCTGTTGTTAAAAGTCAGTATGTAGCTGTGAATTTTATTTATTTATTTATTCATTTATTATCTGAGACAAACCGTACAGTTTCCTTGCAGTGTATAAGGCTGAGAAATCCTTGGAGCATCTTGGAAAGATCTGCAGAGAGCTTATCTGTTTACCTGGTGCTTTGCTTTCTTTTTCTGTCTTCCAAAAGGCATTAAAAGAAGATATAAAGTTTAAAAACTTTTCTAGTTGTGATGAAAGGAACTTGTATTTGCTGAAGGGATGCTGATTGGATCATCTAGGTAGTCAAAAAATAGTAGACAAAGACATAAGATTATCAAACTCAATCAACTAACCCTATGTGAAATGAATGCAGCTTTTCTTCTGATAACTTTTGTGATGTCTGTAACAACTGCCATGTGGGCCAGTTACGCCATATACCCTTTAAATCTTCAAAATGATGCAAGTTACTTGTCTATTTTAGGTTATTACAGATTTTACAGGAATTGTACTTGAAAAGAAAGCACCAGAAAAAAGTGCATCCGAGGAGAAAAAAGGTAAGTAGCGACCAAGCAGTTAGTATGACCCTGCTCTTCATCTGATATGACATCTTTCTTTCCATTACCTTTTGAACTCATGGGTATAGTTTAATGCGTGTCGACAGGCTTTTCTCTTTTGAAACTTTTCAGTTTATAATGAGTTATGTAGCACGACCTCAGCTTTCTATAAGGAGTTACTCTGATGTCCAATGCATCCTGCTGACTCATTAAGGACAAGGACTGCTCTCCAGACAACTGGTGGCCTTTTAAAGTTCTAAACATTCCTCGGAGTGTTCACATGAGGCCAGTTATTTCTGCCAGCTGAATAGCTTTTGAAAAAAAGTTAGATAAGTTTAGTCACATCTATGCTCAAGAATATCAACCTTTGACCTGAGAATAATATTCTTCCTCCTTCTGTTATTAAACATTAAAATTGTTTGGTATATAGAAATCTAGGGATATTAGCTTGTAATTGAATAAAGTAGGTTGTTTTCGAGAAACCTGCTTTGTGAAAGTAACTGCTTAAGTCTGGAAGTGTTTGTTTGGGCTGTAGAATGATCACAGCATTCCAGCTCCATAAGCAGACAGTCTGTTCTATGATTAAACTGGTTGGTTGTTTCAGCAACCTGATCCAAACCCGATGTAGTATAAGATGTTTCTCTTGGCTTTTTGCTTTAATAGACCAGGTAAATCAATGAACAACTGTCCTGATAGAAACATTTAACAGATAATTTATAAGAAGCAAAAGTATAATGAGTCTAGGAATTAAAACACAGTGTTGCCAAGTTACCTGGGGTGTGTAATTTTGTAAGACAAAGCTTCTAAACTACCCAAGAGCTTAGTTCCATGCTCTCTGTTGCTTTAGAACGTTTTTGAATGCTTCCTGCTCTGCTGTCCTTAAAAAAAATATTTAGAAGTCTGCTTTTCAGAGTAAGCTACCGATCAAGTCCAGATTCAAAACTGAGTAACTTTTGGCTTAGCTGGTTTTACTAATGTAATCTTTTAATCTTTTTAAAAAGATACAGGGGAAGTGGATGAAACTCAGGAAAGCCAGGAGGCAGTGGCTGAGGACCAAAGTCATGCAGTTGCTGAATCCAGTGCTGCAGGTAAGTAATTCAGTTTTTGAATCTCATACAAGTATATTAACTGATCATATGCTCAGGAGCCAGGCTGAAATCATATAAAAATTGGGAATGACTTCTAACAGCAGGGAAATAGGGCTTGATCCAGAAGAGGTTTCTTGTGTATTGTCTTCCTTACCCACAACTTCTAACCCAGCCAGCCACCAAAACCAAAAGCATTCTCCTAGGGCTTACCCACTTTGAAAAGAAAATTTTTCATTTTGTAGCAATTTATCGGTAGTTACTCTCATGCTGGCTATTGAGATGTTCAGAGGGTGATTAATTAATCTGCATGCTGTGATTTGCAGCAACTGGATGTGAATCTAGAAGGTAATAGGGAAGCCTTATGTTGGAAATCAGTTTTCTCAGTTTATAGCAATCACCCTTTGAATGTCTGATGTAAGAATTAAGGTAAAAGAGAACTTAAACTAAGTTCTAAGGAAATGACACTAAGGAAGTGTCATGACTGCATGTGAAGGAAATACAGTGACAAAGTTTCACTGTATGACCCATAATTTGCTAGCCCTGTCACGAGTAACTACTTTGTCTTGTGTTCCCTTTGTCATCAGATTGCATTCTGTCTATCTGTTCTGTATGAACTGTGTGTAACAATGCATACAGCCGGATCCCTGCCATACAGGGCTTAGCTTAATAAAAACAAATAGCTTAATACAGGGTATTTCCTGCAGAAAGCAAGGAGAAGAGAGTACAGGTGCATAAATTGCTAAAGAAAAGCTTTATGTAGCAAGCACATCTTAAGAGGGCTAAGACTCTAAGCACATCCTACGGGATCCTGCTGTTGAAGTCGATGCAGACTGACAGCACTTGATACTTCAGATGAAATTACTGGGATCAGAGATAATAGGAACAAGTTGTTCTGACTACTGCCAAAGATACCAAAGAAAGGGAGAGGGCAGGCCTACACCAACATTTGCTAGGCAATGAGAATACATTTTCTTCATGTATTTCTTCTGAATGTGAAGTGCTTGTTAAAGCCTAAGGATTTAGAAAGAAATTCTTTATCTTCTCACAGCTGTGGAGAAGGTCAGCTGCAGCATACCTGAGGGCGTTCCCATAGACATCACGGTCAAGCTGATGGTGTGCTTGGTTCACTTGAACATCCTAGAGCCGCTCAGCGTAAGTAGAAACCAACTCAGAAGTTGGAGGATGTTCTAATAAATTGCCAAAGGAAGTAATTTTTCCTGTCTTTGTATGACTGAGGTCATTGAGAGAGCTGTGGAGATTCTTTTTGCTTCCCTGCCACTCCAACCTAGCAAACCTGTAATAGCAGAAACACTATTTTTGTCCTTATAAATTATGCCTTCAGTGGAAGTATTACTGAAGCACAGTAAATCACAGCCTATGTGCTCTGACAGGCCCAGGACCACATTGCAAAATTGTTGAACTCTAAGGAACACATCTTTGCTTTGGTTTGAAGCCCTACTAAATCTGAAATCTGTTCTTTCATAAAGAGCACTCCTCACTGATGGGCGCTTTGACCCATTGGATGTAAAATGTCCAGAATAGAAAAATGTGGCTTTGTCAGGAATTCTGAAGTTCAGGTCTTTGTTTTTCACTTTTAAACTAACATTTAAATAAAGGAAGTGTATTTCAGAATGCAAATAGACTGAAAGTTGTAGGGTAAAAATGTAAGCTTCCAGTAACTGTATCTTAAAGAAATATTCTTGTTGGTTATTTGTGCTTTTAGAGTTTTGTGTGGTTGTTTTACAGCCTCTTTTGACCACTCTGGTGGAACAAAATCCAGAAGAAATGGGTGACTTGTATCTGGACGTTGCGGAGGCGTTTCTGGACGTTGGAGAATACAACTCAGCACTGCCTCTCCTGAGCTCCCTTGTCTGCTCAGAACGATACAACCTGGCTGTTGTCTGGCTGCGGCACGCGGGTGAGAGGAAGCAGGGCTGCTGGGCACGTGATGCTGGGAGATGATAATACAATGCTGAGCACTTCCAGGGACCTTTATCTGACATCACGGGAATTCCAGGTTCACATGTTGCATGATAATTGGTATTTGCAGAACTATAGTTGGTGTTCATTATGACAGCCTTGTTGTGGTGCATTTTCTTGTTCTTCATCTAGACTGAAATTTACTTCAGCTAGAAATACTTTTGTTTTCACGTAAGTGGAACAGCCTCTATTCTGCATTCCATCCTGATGATGCTTTAAGTAAAACTGTGGATGCATCAGCACATATTTCTGAATATGTTCTCTTTAAGAATGCATGTTTTGGGTGGTTTTAACTGAAAAAGTATCTGAAAAGTGTATTAACTATTTTGCAAGCTTTGAAATCTTTTTTTCTGCTACTTAAGTGTACTGTGTTGTATATGGTATTTCTAGAGTGCTTGAAGGCTTTGGGACACATGGAGCGTGCTGCAGAGAGCTATGCCAAAGTTGTTGATCTTGCTCCATTGCATCTGGATGCAAGAATCTCACTTTCAACACTTCAACAGCAGCTGGGCCGACCCGAGAAAGCTCTGGAGGCTCTGGAACCCATGTATGATCCAGATACACTGGCTCAGGATGCTAATGCTGCCCAGCAGGTGAGTAAAGTTTTCTGTCCTTCCAGGTTAGGATGTATTATTCTGTTAAACTATGATAGTGGTCAAAAATATCAACTATATAGGACTAGGGATTGAGACTGATTTATCTACAGCATGGTGAGCCTGCAGAGCGCAGCGATTAATTCATCACAGAGTATCGGGGATGAGTCCTTGTGGCTCTTTCTCCCTGATCATTTTATCAGTGTTTCCTCTCTCCCGCCTGATTAATTCTGTGTGATGTACAACCTCTTTGTTGCCAATCACTTTGACACCAATCTTGATGCCAAGTCATGATGGCAGTCATTTTTCATCAAGTTGATCAGCAGTTGCTACATACGAGCTATGTGGTTTGGCCTCTGCGGATGGTAACAGATGGCCTAGAAAAGGGTCTGTATCCCCTCCCCAGCAGCACTTTCACTAGAGGTAAGAGTTATGCTGAATTTCTCTGAAATGTGAGAATTTGATCAGTAATTACTGCAGGGCAGTTTAGGGAGATCTTACCTCCTGCTGCTGCTGCTAAGATTCTTACAGCTTTCTATAAGCTTTTACAATCCTATTAGTACAGTATTGAGTTAAAATTGTTTTATGAACTCAGTCTCTGTGCAAGAGGTTGAATAATAATGTTCACTGTTATCTAGGAGTTAAAGCTGCTCCTCCATCGTTCGACGCTGTTGTATTCCCAAGGCAAAATGTATGGCTACATAGACACGTTACTTACCATGCTGGCGATGCTGCTGAAGGTAAGCCAGTCTTTGCAGCTACACTTCAAGAAGCTGGGGAGCTATGAGTTGGGTTAAGACAAGTGACAAACGAACTCAGGAGGAGAGATAGTGGTTTTAATATGCAAATGATTTCCTAATTTGTTAGATAATGATCTTGCAGGGAGTCTTTAATACTGGTGTTCCTGCCCTGTAGTGTTCAGAACAAAGGTGTGTGTAATTCTTAAGACAGTGACTTCAGCTCCCTGTTTCTCAGTGTGCATAGAACACACTGAATACTAAAGCTACTTACCTTTTTAGCAGTCAGCATAGTGCATTCTTATAACGTTGATACTGGCTTCTATTTCAACCATTTTCCTTTTAATTTATTTTTTAAATTTATTTTATATTTTCTTGTGATAAAATGACCAAAGAAGAATTTGTTTAGTTAGTAAATACAGTAGTGGTGGCTTTGTGTGAGTTGTTTTTTGTTTTAGCCCTCAGTTTTATCCATTTGGTCAGAGCCATTACTACTGTGTTACATTGGTTGAATAGCTATCCACGTATTTCTGAAACTGATACAGAAAGGCATTGTTCTTGTTATGCTACTACGCAGATAGTTTTGATTTCAAGAAATACAAGGAAAAGTCTTTTAAGTCATTTAAAGGTTTGTATCTTCCTTTTGCATAGCCCAGTTTGCACTGGAGCATGAGACAACGCAGAGATAATGTTCCTCTTGGGAATGTTTTCTCTCCTGTTCTTGCTCTGCTGTGGCATTTCTGAGTTGCAGACTGTTTTGGGTGCAACATGAGCAAGATGGATTCGCCATAAAACTGCTTTTGTTGTCGGATGTATTAATGTAATCTGAAATGCTGTCCTTACATTTGTTTCTAGGTAGCAATGAGCAGAGCTCAGGTGTGTTTGATCTCTAGTTCCAAATCTGGAGAGAGACACCTCTATCTTATTAAGGTGTCAAGGGATAAAATTTCTGACAATGACGACCAAGAGACAGCAAATTGTGATGCGAAAGGTAACAAATGTTTATTAAAAACAAAGCAACAAGATGAACTTCTTAGTTCTGAAAAATGCAGTAAATGTTACTATTTTGCATGCCAATTCGTGTTAACATTGCTTTATTTCTTGGGCAAAAATGAAGATAATATAACTTAAGGGAACAATCCCCATCCAGAGAAAAATAGTAAGATTACAGAATAATTCAGATTGAGAAAGACCTCTAGAGCTCTTATGGTCCAACATTCTCCTCAGTGCAAATGTAATCCACGCAAATCTAGAAGATAATAGAAATGCACGTTTTAAGTGGTGTCATTTTTTTTAACTGCCCCAGACTCAGTTGACCCAGACTGCACATCCTTTAGCACCATTTGGTAATTAGGAAGAGGAATTTTAATGTATTAATGTAGTACATTTACAACTTGATCTGTGTGAATTTCTTGACGTTTGTTCCCAAGTTTTCACTGTTTTTTTGCTCATGTTTTACAAACTGCACTTAAACTGAAGTAGATATTTTATGAGTTGTTTTTGAAAAGATCAGTTTGACATATGCACCCTTTTTTTTTTAATAAGAGTTTAGCTCTCATCTTTAAATTTTCTCAGCTTATTGACTTCAATCTTTTTAGCAATTTTTGCTGTTCTCACGAGTGTTCTGACGAAAGATGACTGGTGGAACCTCCTCCTGAAGGCTATATATTCCTTGTGTGACCTCTCCCGGTACAAGGAGGCAGAGCTACTAGTGGATTCTTCACTGGAATATTACTCGTTTTATGACGATAGACAAAAGCGCAAGGAGCTGGAATACTTTGGGCTCTCTGCTGCAATCCTGGACAAGAACTTCAGAAAAGCGTACAACTATATCAGGTGGGGTACTGAGAAGGTAGAGCAATCTCTGCTCTAGTTGCTTCCTCTGAGGCTGTGGTCATACTGCTGAACATACTGCTAAAGGAAGCAGGATGATGCTTTTCAGCTTTTGCTAAAACAGTCTGTTGAAACTAAAGGAGCTTTCTGAGAGCCTCCGATTCTAAAAAATGCACAGTGCAGTACTTTGGTTGCTTTGGCCAGAACCATTAGTTCTGTCCTTCACTCTTAACTTTGCCACAGTCACTGGCCTGCTCATGGAGTGTCTCTTCTTTGTTTTTGTCCCTAAACTGTTGGGGTTTTATTGCAGATACAGTATTTATTATATAGCGTTTACTAATTTCTTGTATCCTTTTCATTCTATAGAATCATGGTAATGGAAAATGTCAATAAACCTCAGCTGTGGAACATCTTCAATCAAGTTACGATGCAGTCTCAGGATGTCCGTCACCATCGCTTTTGCCTGCGCTTGATGCTGAAAAACCCTGATAATCACGCACTGTGTGTCCTAAATGGGCACAATGCGTTTGTGTCAGGCAGTTTCAAGCACGCTCTTGGTAATATCATTAATGTTCTAATGTTAACAAATAACACAAGTGAATGTTTTGTTCTGAGAAATATTTCCTAAAGTAATTTTTTTCATACATCAGAAATTTATAGGTGGCTTCACAGTCTGGTGCTTGAATTACTTTGTACACAAATGAAAGCATCGCTAGAGTTTTGCTAAAAAACATTAAGCTGGCACATTTCATGTCTATCACACCTTGCAAATATAACTAACTTGCAAAGGTAATTGAAGGTTAATGATAATAAAGAATAAGAAGGACAGAAGCAGACCAGTTTAAACAGCAAATGAAGTTGGTTGGACATTTTTAGCAGGCCTTTGAAGTAAACCTACTACTTTCAGTCAAGCCTTCCAAATGTTAAGATGTGTGGCCTCAAGGATACAAATCCCAGCAAGGACCATGTTTGCCTTCTGTGTCTGTCTGTTTTCTGCTGATATTTTTGCATCACAGCCTGCATTCTTCCTTCAGCATCCAAGCAGTGCTGAAAATACAACATTTTCTCCATCTTTTTTTTCCTGTGTGTTCTGATGTAGCTATATCAAACCGTTTCTTTTCTTAGTTCACACTTCTAATTTGAAGATTTTCTTTTTTGTTCTCAAATTTTTAAGGAATGCTTTTCACAACAAACATCTTGATTCAATTATTTGCTTTTAGGACAGTATGTGCAAGCCTTTCGTGCAAACCCAGATGAACCTCTGTACAGTCTTTGTATTGGCTTGACTTTCATCCACATGGCTTCTCAGAAGTACGTGCTGAAGAGGCATGCTCTTCTAGTACAGGTGAGTTAATGTGATGATTTTTACCTTTAGTGTTTCCTGGCTTAGTATCTTGCAGACAGTTATGGCTGCAACATACTCTGTTTAAGTAACTTTTCATAATTAATATGGCATTTCAAAAGAGAAAAGTGGTGAAACATGAACCCAGATGAGAATGGTTTTGAACTGTAGTTATACCCATCTGACTCTCCACTCTTTTTAGTTAAATGTAGCTTGTTCTGCCCTGTGTGTGCAATGGTTACTCACACAGATGTCAGCAGCTGCCAGCTCTTGGTGAAGATATTACTAATTTCAGTCATGATGGCTGTAGTCTGGATTTTCTTCCAAATCTTTCTTCTCACCCCGCCCTGCTCTGAAGTCCTGTAGAGTAGGATCTATGCCAGGTGCCCTTCATAGACAGGCCTCATAAACTGCATTGTTGCAGCAAACTTTACAGACTTAGAAAGCGTTTTTTTTCCCTCTGTCTTCCTTTTCTCTTCCCCCTTTTAGGTGCCTCTTATAGCTCTCTCTGTAAAGATCTTGTGAACCCCAGTTTAGGTTACCCTCAGTTCTTCAGCTTCATTATTCACATTTGTCTTTCATCTGCCAGATCCAGTTACAAACCACAAGCTGATTATTCCCAGAGAGAATCTTGAAAGTAGTTTCCTCTACTGTCTACCAAGTATTTTCATCAACCTTAAATACCTTTTAATTCTTGTGGCCAATGAGCTTGGAGTCAGCAGAATATGGAGAGGATCCCAAGCTCTCCTGACTTCTGAAATTGCTGAAAACCCGTAGCTGTAGATTTTGACAAAAGCTATAGCTCCTCAGCTACTCTAAACCAATACCAGTTATGTCAGTATCCAACTTAAGACATTTTGAACTTGCAAACTTTGGCCTAATTTTAATATTTTTATCCACTTCTTTCTGTAATCAGCCTGCCTTTCTTATATGGGCTGCTGTGTTCTCTTTTTTAACACACTTCAACAACGTCCTATTTATGTTACCCTCTGGCAATACAGTTCCCTGCTTTCTCTCTTCTCATTTCTTGCTTATTATACTTGGTGTTTTTACATTCTCTCTTGTTCCTATTGTAGTTGATTAATAATTCAACTGCAGTGACATAGTGGTGACCTAAATTATGATCGTTAGCTGCTTGTGCCTGAACTAATTCCTCACGTTGAAGGAGCTGTCTTCTCTGATTACCAATGTGGTCCCCAAAAAGAAAGTCCTCTATTTACAACAGAATCATCACGTTCCAAAGTGGTAGCAAAATGAAATGCACAGGAGAGGATGAAAAAGTTATGTCCTCTGTTTCTCCCTTCTGAATTCGCCTCTTCTCTCTGTCCCTCCTGTTTCCCCCAGGGCTCCTTCAGTGTCAAATGAGAAACTGCATTTTAATGTGAAATAATACTGTATGCCTCTTTGTCTTTCCCTGTGTTCTGGATGGGAGATAGCTCTGGTCTAATGGCATTCATCTTTATAGCATCATACGACCCTGGAGTCACAAAGAGGTGGTCACACACCGAGCTGGTTGGCTGTGACATCCTACAGATGAGGAAAAATCACTTTCCTCACTTTAAAGCATGTCGGTCTATAAATGAGACTAGTTGGTTCCATTAAGGTTGGCAACGAAATTATGTACACCTGGAGCTGTGCTAGTCATGTAGCTTAAATATTTTAAACTAAAACCAAAATACGAAGTGTAACACTTACAGGGTGTTTTGACTTTAAATTTGTTAAAGCATAGCCCTGGAATTGTTGGGTATGAGTTTCCTTTCAAATTCTGCTGGAGACTTTGCAGTAAAACATCTGCTGGCCTCAAGAAGGGACGTGAACTCTTGCCAGTGCTGAGGATATTTGGATTTTTCATGCCTTTATTCAGTGTTGTTTATTTTGGGCCACTTTTTATAAAAGGATATACTGATAATTTCCCTGATAACTGGTATTGGAGAAAACATTTCTATGGAGCACAAGATCAAGAAAATAATATGATTACATACCAGAAGTAAAACTTTGATATGTGCTTCATAGAATTCAGAATTTTATCAGATTCTGAGGAGGTGTAGTATTAAACCATTTCTTGCCACTATCCAAGGCAAAGAGTGAAGGAAAGGGAATGAAGGCCTGGGGTTTTGTAGTTGTTTTTTTTTCCTCCCTTAAAAAAAAACTAAATAGGGAAGGGTTATCTTTTAAAGATTTTTTTTTAAAGAAAATAATGCTGTAGTCTGCCCTTTGGCTGCATGTTCTTTAAGGTGGTCAGCACGTCCGAACGTGAACAAGTCTTATCTGTGTGTATATTACATAAGCCCATTTATACTTACATATTTATCAAGCTAGTGCCATAAGTCACTATACTAAATAACTATGCTTTCCATTCATTAAAAAGACCCACCCGTTGTTCTCAGTGGTATCAGTGAGACTGACAGAGCACACTTTTTATGGTCTCGACAATCAAATGTGACTGATGTTTTGCCTTCAACTTGCATGTGGTTTTGTGGGGAAGCAGAGATCAAACGTTCTAATAGCTGCATTGAAACACCTGTTCTCCAGCGTATTTTACTGCCACCTCCTTAAAGGGAGCACTCACAAACGTGCATCGTGTGTCTGCAGGGATTCTCCTTCCTTCACCGGTACCTGGACCTGCGTGGGCCATGTCAAGAGTCCTTCTACAACCTTGGCCGTGGCCTGCACCAGCTGGGGCTGCTGCACCTGGCCATCCACTATTACCAAAAAGTACTGGAACTTCCCCCTCTCACCTTAGAGGTACTGTATTTTTTTAAGTGAGGTGCAGAGTCACAAGTCAGGTCAATGTTGATAATTTCCCAGCCATAGTTAAAATAGGTACGTAAAATCTGTGTAGTTGAATGTCCCTTAATTTCTATTGTAATTCCTTGCCACCGGAAGCCCAAATCTGATTGTCACCTGGTAATGTATTTAAGCATGTGTTAATTTCAAAGGTTTATGAATTTTGAAGGATTTCCTAATAGGCCTAAGCAGCAGCAAAAAAGGCTGCTAAACAACTTTACCTGAAAAAGCAGCTGAACTTTAAATATCTATGACAAGCATTAAGTTATAACTGGAAGTTCTACATAGTCACCCATGCTATAAAACAGCACACTGGAGCTATATGAACCGGTATGAAGAGAGCCTAAATGTGTCTGAGCCATGGTTGTGCTCTAATTGATCTGTATTAGCTCATCCTAATTGACGTGTCATACTCGTACGAGCCTGCTCTGAGAGAAAGTTTTTGCCTCGCTCTGGCAAGGGCTGGTAGAAGAATGACAAGTGTATTTAGAAGTGGGGAGGGGTTGGTCAGGTGAGAACCAGGGGTGTTGGGCAGCGCTGGGAGTTGAAAGCAGCAATCTTGTGACCATCTGAAAAATACAGGCTGTAGTCACCTTCTGACTGTAGAAAGAAATACTTTGCGTACAACGACAAATTAAGATAGTACTTCCCTGTTTTATGAGCTGTCTAGTTTACAGCTAATGTTTTGAGTATGTAATTACAAAACTCTGCTGATTAACGTGGAAACTCATTAAAGAGGGACAGCACAAGAAATACTACTACTTTTGTTTCTGTATGTCTGAAAGCCTATGTAGATGATGAATATGTGATTTGATTCCACTGTAATTGCTACTCGTGTTTTATACTATTTTTGCATATAGATAACTGTTTGTAATCATTATTTTTACAGGGAATAGAAACTGATCAGACAGACTTAAGAAGAGATACTGCCTTTAACCTGTCGCTGATTTATCAGAGCAGTGGAAATATTAGAATGGCTCAGAAGATGTTGTACACCTACGCCGTTGTGTGATGAGGTCTGTGGGAAGTGCAACTGATGCTGGGTTTTAACCGTTGCGTCACGCGGCGCTGGGGAAACAGCTTTTATCTACAGCAGTTGCTGTGGGTGGTCAGAGACATGGCTGGTACCACACACAGCCTTATGGACTTCTTCTGACATTGGAACCATAGCACGTGGAGGTGGAGACCGTTCCAACGCTGACGTGCTCAAGTGTGTCCGTTACTGGCTCTTCTCCTTCCATGCACTGCTCCGTACTCCCATCTTCAGGCTTGTATATAGAACCAAACAGTGACAGCTCAGCCCAGTGGGGTTTGTTGGGAGGTTTTTTAGGGAAATGTGCACAATTACAACTAGTTATCAGTGAGGTTGCTCAAGAAGCCATATTCACTGGTGATGAGGCTTTTTTAATGTGCAACATTAATATAATATAAAAGAAATGGGTTCATACTAATCCCTAGAGGATGGAGAACTCAGTATTTCAATTTCTTTAAAGTACTCAGAATTTTCTGGGAGTTTATATTCCTAGCAGGTGATCTATTTGAAGGAGATTGATTTCTGTTTTACTGAAATCAGTGTGACCTTTGTTCTTCTGAACTTGTTAATAAAATAATAATAAAAATTCTGAGGTTAATGGTAATGTTTACTCATTCTCACCAAACATATGTCCTACTGAACAGCTTATAGCAAAAATTGCCCACTCTCATACGTGTTTGTGTTCTGACATCATTTCACACCGTTGCAATCAGCGACTAAGAAACAGGTCTTGCCTAGATTAATTTTAAAGGTAAGGCAATTTTATTTCAAATCAAATACTAAATTACAATATATTGCACGTCCACTTCACTAGAGATATGCTGGGCTGTAGTGAGAATTCGAAAGTGAGACAAATACCAAGGAAGTTTCACTAACTCAGGAAAGTACAGCATGTTTTACTTGGCAGCAGTGCTTGGCACCGCTGCTTAAATACAAGTCCCGGGCCAAGTTTGCAGAACTATAAATTAAATAACCATTTTAGTTATGTTAGCCTGGGCTAGTCATAAACTGTAGAAGGGAGAGAATTGGCTCCCTTACCCCCATTTCGTTTCTTATTCTCTGTGATACCTCATCACTGGTTTTGACATGGCAGCCAGCTGTTTGCTGTGTGAACAATCTATGTGCAAACATAGCGTTGTATCATCTTGGAGTTAAAAATTCTTCCATTTTAGTTTTCCTTATTCTTTATTGGCCTTTTTACATCTTGTAACCCTGTTGATGTTTTTCCTTCTTGCAGCAAATGACAGAAATGTTCATCATGTCCCAGGAAAGAGAGCCCTCAGCACTGAGCGAATGCTTAGAAAAATAAGCCAGAGATCCAGTACACAAATTCCCTTTGTATTATTCTTTTCCAAAACCGAGTCTGACATACTCAGTATCCTATTGCTTCTATATGTTTTTTTAAATGTACTTGACATAGAGGAAGGTTCTGGGGTTTTTTTAAGACTTGTGTTAAAAATTGACCAATGTCAAGGCATTACTATTACTTTGTATATGATCCCTACTGCTGCTAGAATTCTGAAATCGTTTAGTTTTTAAACCTAGGAGGTATGAATCTTTAGCATTCATACAAATAAAAAGGAAAAATAGAATCTGAATGTTGATGACTTTTAAACTGCTTTCTAGATTGTTTTTAAGCACCAAATAACAGAAACTTGCATTTAATTAAACCCAGTCATTATGGACTGGAAAATTAATACTGCTAGCAAACAGTGTTCTGAAATGATGTTCTAAACAATTTTGCACATCTGGAAGGAAGAGATACTACTTGTCTTAATGCAAATTATCTAAAGCTTTCTCAAATGCTTGTGGAACAAAACTATATATGAAGATAGATTTTTCCTTAGCTACATCCAACTTGCATTTACGCTGATGAGATAAACAGTCTTTTACTGAGACGTCACTTTTACGTGCTATTATAAATAGGTTCTATTGTAATGGTGCAGCAGTAACAGATCAGACAAGACTCCAGAGAAAGCAGACGCTGTAGGAACGTGAGCTTCCCAACACAAAGAGGTTTGAAGAGGCGCAGCCCATGTGAGCTGACCTGCTCAAGGAAAAGCAAAGCACAGAGCATCAGGTACGTACAGAAAATGGATACGGGCTTTTAGCACAAAGCCATAGCTCTACTCTCCAGTACAGAACTGGGCAAGTTTTAAGCCACTTTCACTTGAAATACTAATAAATACCAATGAAGTGCCCTTGCTTTGGAATTCTTTTTCAAACAATGAAGTTGTGAACACATACTGCACATTTCATCTTTGTACTCTATATGAGGGATGGAGGATACACAGGGGACTGTGAGTTTGAAACACAGATATTTCTTGGGGTATAAGTGTCTGTATGGGATTTATTTTGGCATGTGCTATGGTCATCTTTAGGCTTACCTGGCTGTAGCTTGGTTTATAACTGTGGGAGATGAACCCAACACCTTTCCTAATTCTCCTTCTTAGTAAGGACTATTTTACTGAAATGTAAAATCATAGAACAGTTTGGGTTGGAAGGAACCTTTAAATGTCATCTAGTCCATCGACGTCTTCAACTAGATGAGGTTGCTCAGAGCCCTGTCCCACCTGGCCTTGAATGTGTGGGAACAAACAGCAAGGCAGGAAAAGCTTGAAATCTGGCCATTACAATTTTGAGAAAGCTTTCATAAATCACTGAGAACAAGAGACCAAGAGGGAAAGAATACTTAAATCAATGCCAGCCTCATCTGTCAGCATGTTAGGAATATTCCTCAAGCCTCACTAAGAGAATTAGTAACAGTTTTGGTCAAACACACTACATATATTGTCAAAATAGTTGGTTTAACCATGATAATTTTGTTAGCTGTTTATTGCTGAAAAGCTGTTTTATATCAAACACTAACTCGAGGCTAAAAGACTGCTCATAAAGGCATCTACTGATTGTCTCAAAAACTGAACCACACCTTTTGAGTTGTGCTTACCCAATACCAGCATTGACAAGCGTAGGAAGCTGTTTGCTATCCATGTTTGCTGAAGGCCACAGCTTGACAGGAAAAAAAACAACCAACCTTTTTGCTGCTTAGAAAATGTATTTTTAAATACTACAAATGTTTCTATAGAGAGGCTGAGCAGCTGCCAAGCCGTGGGAAAGGCTGGCAATGTAAACCTGAGTTATTGATCCTGCAGGAGAAGGCAGTGTTAGATCACTACAACTTTATTGAAATTACTATGTTTAAAGAAAATAACAAGTTCTTGTTTATTGTGTGCTTCTGATGTTTCAAGTGGGTGTGCTGCCACTCACCATGTTGTGTTTGTATTGCAGAGCAGGCTCTGAGCAGACAAACTAGTTTCCTTTCAAAATGAAAGCAAGTTAGAAGGCAGCTTCCAAAAGTGCTCCAGTTGCTCGTGAGTGTTCAGTCAGCAGGATCAGAGTAGAGAAAAGCTGAAGTGAAAAACAATCCAAAACATCTCCTGGATATTGGGACCAGCTCTTTCATTCTGCGTGTGACCCACTGAGCTGCATCACCTGCTAAAGCCAAGCCTATAGCCAAAGCTTAAGGTAGGGCTGAAGTTAAAAGGTACTGGAATACACTAATCCTTCACAATTCCACTGTATCTTAACTGCTTTCCACCCTGAACCCCTTTAGAAGGAGCAACAGCATGTGTTGAACCCAGAATGGGCTGTCACTATGCAAATATAAGTGCCAAGTTTAACGGCCATGTCTATATAATTGGACTTTGTGTTTCAATATACAAAGTAAGAGCAGCTGCATGGCCCCAGAGAGAGGTGGGGATTCTGGAACAAGAAGGGATGAAGAACCAGCCCTTGGGTGTACAGGATGGTGGTAAAATCTCCCACAGAGGGAAAAGAGAGAGGTGGTCTGTGCTGTTGCCCTGCCAACATGCAGTTCACACAAACACAGCTGCCATACACTTTGTCCTTTTGCGCAGGCAAAGGTCACAATCATTTGTCCCTTGTTAGGAAACCTACTAAAGCATTCAATATAAACAAATGTGTTAAATGATAAGTGCTGTTTGAGAGAACTGTTTCTCAGCTGTGATTACTCTACAGATGGGGTTCACAGCAAGCAAAACCAGAGTTCAGTGTTGACTGCTGTTTGCCTGGGGCACTGTGGCCGTGGAGGCACAGCTTATGCTAAGCCACTTAAGCAGCTTTTATGGAGCAGGTGTTGCCAACTGACTTCTGATGGAACCAGCATAGGCCTGCTTTTAAGCAGCCTGATTTAATGGAGCTCAGGTGTGCATTAGCTGTAATAGTGTGCACAGCCCCCCCTTGGTTCTGTAGAGCAGCCATTTCCCTCAAGTAGAGGCTAAGGTCATTGTGAATTTGACCAGGGTCCTATTGCGCAAGTTATAGTTTAGGACCAAATATCTGAAGGAGCAGAACAAACTAATTCCAGTGTGTCCTTGGGCAGCTCCTAAGCTCCAGAGGTATGCAAGTCTTCTCTCCCCCCTAAGCTAAACAAGTATTGCAAATAACACAAGCAGATCCCACAGAAATAAATAGTACCATTGATCACAGAGGAGTTTGCAAACAGCTCTGCTGAAGCAGATCAGAGACAAATAGCACCTGTACTGAAGCTAGGTTGTGTTGACACCACATGGAAGAGTAAGCCAGAATGAAGATGAGCTGATCCTTAGTTGAACAAGCATGAAAAACGTCCATGTTATAATCATCATCAACAAATGACGTAAGTCTCCTGCTTCAACTACTCTTTCCCCAGTGTGGTGTTCCACAGTAGGATAGCCTGAATTAATTCCACTAATTCTTACGAAGGCAAGATGGTGTCTGGTATATCATCACACACCTAATGCATTCCTTAGATGCTCCTGAAGTAGCCCAAGGCTTATGTTCTCTCACAACCCAGATATCATCTACAATTAGCAGCAGCCAGTCCTGCCAGTTCCTCCCCACCCCAGTCACGTCAGTGTCCAGCCACAGACACATGACTGGCTCCTCAGTAATTCACCTGAGCCCTCTGCAAACCAGCTGCAGGTTGTTGTGACAGCACCTGCCAGGCTGTCTCTAAAGCTGGTAAAAGAAAAGTGATGAAAGCAAAGACGGAGCGTATCAACAGCTATAATTTACAGTAGCGATAAATAAAGTAGTGGAATAGTAGTTTCTAAAGAACAGTAGTTTTGTTAATATCAGCCTCCCAATGCAAAGCACCTGAGTCAAAAAGGCAAGGTGAGAGGTACAAGTTAATTCAAATCAGAGTTTATGATTCAAACAACCATTCCTAGGCCCTTTATATACAGGTGTCCTGTGAGCACATTTTCCTTGCAAGGCCTTCTTGGTGATACAGACTTTTCTGTCAGGTCAAGTAAAGTTCCTAAAGATTCTTCCAGCAGCTGGGTGCTAGCAGGGAGTCTCCAGGTGGCAGGTGATGCTCTCCCTGGGCTGGGAATTACCTGGTCAAGTGAGCTCATTTCCTGCCCAGCTCACGTGGGCCTTCCTGGTGGTGAGCTGGGAGGCGTTGGGTCCTTGCCCTGCTGTTCAGGGAGCTGTGAGTGGGAAGCTCTTCTTGCTTTTTCTCCTGGGAAAAGATGCAACATTTAACAAAGCCGATGACTGTTTGGGAAATCTTTGTCATTACAAAAGAAGAGATTATAGTTTTAGCAGTTTAATACATTCATCTCCAAGAAAGCTAATTACACAGCTACATAAGAACTATCAATTATGCAGAAGGCTGATGAATCTCCACAAACAAGGTAAGCACAGCTTTTGAAAGGGTATCTGGAAAAGATATGGAGGAGGGGATAGAGAACCACTGAAATGGGCAAATGCAGAGAAGAAAATACACCAGCTATTGGCTTGCAGACAAGTATTTGGTTAATGAGCATCAACAAAACATGAAGCATGCGCAACAGAACTTCTCTAAGTACAGAAATAATCCCTTGAAGCTTTCCTGTACCTGTAATATTCTTTACTGTCTAAATATGTCCTTTGGCAAAAGAGGAGGAAGTGAACTGAACTAGAAGAGGGGTCTTTTCTACTCCTGTTAAGGAACTACAAAATCAAGTTTAGGAAACTGAAATCCTGACTGATAATGCACTATCAAATACTTCTCCCACCTATTTTTCTTTGCTTCCCACTTTGAAATGAACGTGCTTGCTTTCTTTACCTTCTTTTTGGAGCTGCTCTCTTCCAGGTTTTTTGGCTGGTGGTTTTTCACAGCTTCTAACTGTAGGCTGTCAAACTTATATTTGAACCAACGCTGAGCTGCTTCTAGGCTAGTTGTGATCTGGGGAAAACAGTGGAATTAGAATGGCTGAGAGAACAGTTAATGCATGCCATGTTCTAGTTTTTGAGCCATGTACAAGAAAGAGCAGACCAGCATACAACTCGAGTCCTTCTCCTGTATGTAGGTGTAGCTCTCCATGATGTCCTCTTCTGTTACTGTGAAAAGGATGCATCGGAGAGGTCCTCATTACAAAGTTGCCCCTCTCAGGGGGTAACAAAGCCAACATGGGTCTCCAACACAGCATAAAATATAGAGGCATTGGGAAGAAGGGGGGAGGGGGGCGGGAAACGAATGCTGAGTACCACAAACTCCTGAGGAAGAAGACAGGAGACTAACTTTGCCTGAAGAAATACCCTGTTCTATTAAGGTCTCTTTTTAATCAAAGAACAGTACTTGGACTGATAAGCAGCATGTAAGACCTCAGGCTGGGCCACCTCTATTACTTTTTCTATTTCACTTTATGCTGGTTAATACCCTATAAAACACAAACTCCTAGATTTTCAACCCTAACTGTCCAAGCAAGCTATAATAATTTGGATATTGTGGTACAGTAGTGCAAGGATGAGGTGATGCAATGTTGTCTTGGGGTGGGGGGAAGGTGGGTGGGTGGGAAATGTGGTTTTGCATGATGTCACATACAGAGTGACACAACAGCAGCTCAGGGGGGCAATTTACTTGGCCACAACACTTTTGGTTGGTCAATACAGATATCCTGAGCTGATAAAAACAATAGGCTGCAAGGGACAAAAGCTATTCTTACACGTCACGATAAACTGAAGTGATTCACAGAAAAGATAAAAACTTTAAATTTTTTTTTTTAAAAAAAAGGTATGATGAATGCCACTTAGTTGACAAGGCCAAAGATGCACCTCACTCTTCAGCAGAGGCCTATATCTGAGATTGAAAGGGTTACTCGGTGCACGTGATGAAATACTATCTTTTTACTTTCAATGAATTATTCTTCTAATGCTATCTAGTCTCACCTGTTCTGACTCCAGGCTGGCTTCCTTTAGTTTCTTTTCTGTGTCCTCTTTATATTTCTGCAGATGTTTGACTGTTTTTTCCAGTTTCTAGGTAGATAAAGAAGCAAAGTTAATCTCTATACAACTTTTTCATGGCACAAATGAAAAATTGCAATATAATGGAAGGACTCTCCAATCTTTATTGTAAATAACTTAGAGCTCTATAGTTTTAAAAAAAATTCCTGTTCCTCTCAAATCAGATACACAGTGAGTGTATGTTAAGTTGTTACTCAGGCTTTCTGGAGGAGACACAGTAAGAGTTATAGGAATATCTTTTGACAAAGTTCATAAAGTCTTTCTATCACCTCTTCTAAAACCCCACAGATTTAGCACAAAAATGCTTCTGTGGGTGTCTCACCACTTTGTGATGCTGTTAGCACTTCACCTGACACTTGTTTTCCAGCTGCTGCCTTTGCCTTCTCTCAGCTTCCAGCTGGGTCTCCAGCTGCCTGGTCTGCACTTGCACTTCATGTTGTTTCTTCAACAGCACTTGCATCTCTCTCTGCACACTGTTCAGCTCTGACACAAGTTTCTGGATGTCCTGTTCCTGAAGACAACAAAAGATTGAAATTCCAACAACGTTTTAGCAGATCAGTCTTTTCAGAAAACTAGTCAAGCAAACTCACTTGTTCATAGTTCTTCTTCCAATACTCCTCTTTTATTGCTTCAATTTTCTTCATTTCAGATTCTGTCTCCTGGAAATGGTTGAGAGAAAACTTCAGGAATTTTTCAGGCTCACTGCCTGTTACATAGGAACTATTTCTGCAGATGTCTGCACATTGTGTCTTTATTTCTTGCCCTATGAGACTGAAGTTAAGAGAAGATGCCCCACTGGGGAACGGGGAACAAGCAGGTGGCAGAGTTGCAAAGGAGTCTAGATTCTCATTTAGGATCAGGTACCAGTTGAACTGTAAGTTCTATGGCTATAAAGGATAGAAAGGGACTAATCACTACAGAAGCAACCTTTGGCCCATTCAGTAATTAAATAGACTGCATCCACAAAATGATAAAAAGGACAAATGGTACTATAAAACTAAAATGGGGGGATGGAACTCTATGGCATCATATTTAATATGGGGGTGAAGGGGCACAACAGGAAAAAACACAGAATTACTGCTGTGGCTACTGATGTATTCATCTTCTGTTCAGAATTTGAGTCCAGACTTAGTTTTATTTTCAAGTCTAGCTCCACTGCAGAGGATCAACAGCAGCCCTACGGAGTGGGAGAAAACAGGGATTCTCAATTAGGACATCTGTGTTTATTGACAAATGTGTGCATACCTTTACCCTTTCTGTGCTAGCTTTACAGGCCAGGCACTGTCTGACTTGTCCTCTTTGGCTTTTTAGCTTTTCCATGTAACTGGATAAAGACTTTTCCAGCTCTGTTACTTTCTGCTGCAGCTCCTTGTTAGCACAGGAAACTTCAGCCAATTTGGAGGAGGATTTTTCGATGGATTTCTTTACCAAGGAAAAGAGGAAACAGTGAGTTTATGTTAACTGTAAGAGTTAGTTCATTCTATACAACAATTAACGAGCACACCCAATTGATTTGCTGTATCTAAAGCATGCTACAGCATCTGGTGTTTTGACTTTTAATACCCTTCTATCAAAGGGAAAAAAATTGAATGCTGGGATCTGACTAATACTAAGGTTATGCTGAGCCTTATGATCCAGCGCCCGAGAAACAAAGCAGACCTCCAAACCAGTATTCTACCCGTGAAGATTGCTATACAACTCCAGATTCTCTTTTGGCGTCACTGAACGTCTGATGTCAATGTCTAGATCTTACGTACAATAAGGTATTGTAAAACATGTACATTATGTACAATAAAGTATTGTACGTAAGTGTTGAGGGACATAGAGTGGTAGTTGAAAAAGTTAAGTGAGCACAGATATGGATGGCTACCAAAATGTCTGTCCACCACATGATAAAATTCTGTTTGCTGTATACAAGTGATGGACAAGTTCATGATGAATGGAGGAGGAGACAAATATTTGTCATGAGCTGCTCTTGTTCTGTTCGAAAATTGTAAAGCAGAACTCTTTCTCTGGAAATCATTCACTGAAATCTTTCAATTCTATCCCTTGTCACCTCAGCAGATGCTTGACAGGCAGCTTTCCTGGAAGCCTCTTGTTCAATTTGAAACTGCTTCTTCAAAGACTTGAAGTGTTCAGCATACAGCTTTTCCTCAGTCTTGGTTTTTTGCATCAACTGTTCCCTTTAAAGATAAGAAATTAATCTAATAATTTACATTTATATTTAACAAGCTTTATTTTTTAAACAGAAGAATAGGAAAGACAATTCTATTGTAAATACTTTTGTCTTGGATATACTCTCTGCACTACTACTGTTTAAATATTGGAATGTTTTCTAATATTTCATTCCATTTATTTAAAAGAAAGTTCAAAATAGCTATACAAGGTAAACAGACTTTTTGGAAAAAAACATTTAACTTTCTGAGGGAAAGTAAGTTGTCCTAAAATGACTAAGCCTGTTGAGACAAAGGATAATGAGGAGATTCAGACTGCGCCTACGCTTAGGTTTGAGGTTTTGCTTAGTAGCCTTCAGTTTTGGGTGGTGAATTAAAACAGCTGACCTGTGCTCTCCTTGTTACAGCTACTGTAGGCCACGTCAATGTGGAAGCAGTATCTGCTGTCTTTATGGAAAAAGCTGTTTGTAGATGTGCCATAATGACCCTGGGTGAGCAGTTCCTCAGTAGCACAGAGTAGGCTGAAGAGCCATTATGGGAAGGAGTGAAAGAGGCCATTTCTATAGCTCTGCATGACTCTACCTTTACCATGCTGCTGGCTCAGCGTACAATCAATGTGATGTTAGAGCACAGTAATGTTTCTCCTCAAGTGTAGTATCACGGATCTGGTCTTACCTGCAGGCCATCAGCTGCTGATGCTCAGTTTCTTTACTTTTCAGTTCACATTGAGTTTGGATCAGTTTGCTCTGCAGGGTATTATTGACCTGCAGAACTTCTTCCAAGCGATGAATAAGATTCTTGTTGTCTGTTCTAGCACTTTCTAGTGCCTTACAAAGTGGCTCCACCTGTGCAGTAACAACAAATCACAAATTTTACTTATTCAGATGAAAAGCTTAGAAAGGAATATTTTTTTCCTTCCTAGTCAGTATCAACTTACAGGAAGTAACAATGTGTTCACCAACTGTCTGATCACAAATGTCCTAAGCACAGGCATCTAGATGGGAATCCTTAAAACACCTTCTGGCTTAGTCAGAAGGATCAGAACAACTTGTCATATAACCATGACCTTCTTGGGCTGGGGGGGGGAAAGTTCTTTGCAAATAGTGAGTGTGTTCAGGTTGTGAGGTAATCTTTTGACACTAAGTACTACAAGGAGAGATGAAAGGAATTCCTTGGACTCTTTTCCCCTCCATTCTGATAAGAAAAAATATCTGCTATATAAATTTCCAAAATCTCTGTTCATATTATGTCTCCAGCTGCAGACTGCAACACCTTCACCTGTGCCAAGGAATTTTTCTCTAGAGGAGAAGTTTCCCTCCTTCAACACTTGGATTACCATTTTCCTGCTCCACAGCCAAAAGCTGATGGAATATTTTTGCCTTGACTCATGTGGATGTGTTGCACCATACTGTATTCAGAAAAAGAAAAGGTACTTAGCTCAACACCAAAAATGCAGTGGTGGCTGTTACTACAGAAAAATGTGGTCTCTACCTGGCTGCTGTGCTGCCTTTCCATGGCAGCCACTTTGGCTTGGCAATGTTCCAATTCTGTTTCTAACCTCTGTATTTTCTTTTGAGTCTGGCTCCTGAAAATGGAAATTCAAAAAAATCACACATTAAGTCAATTTGTGCACATCTCCTCTGAGGTGGTGACCATCTCACGGTTTGGTTCTTTAACTTCACCATATTAAGTTTTGCCTGTCACTGAAGTTAAACAGCTTTTTACCTACTTTCAACAAGATATACAAGGCCTGCCGAGCTTGCAGAGTTAGCTGCAAGCACTTGGTATACTTAGTTCACTACTACTAAGTATGTTTCCGTGTTGCAGGAAAGGATATAGGAAACTTCTCAGACGAACTTGTCCTCCAGCTTAATAGCCAGAACCATGGGGAAGATGCTGCTCTTCATCTGTATCAACCCCACTGCTGACAGACCACAGAAACAGTATCAGTTTCACTCACTTCTCTTTTATGAGGTTGCTTATTTCGGTGTCCTTGTGTCCCAGCTCAGTTTGTACAGCATCCAGAGCTGCTTGCATCGTGTTCCGAGAAGCTAGCACGTGCTCCAGAATGGCTGTCACCTTACTGTGATCCTCCTTTGCTGCATCCAGCTGGTGCTGCAGGTTTGCCATCTGCAGTACAAGAAATCATTAGGAAAAAGAGCAGGAAAATCAGTCACCTATTAGAGTTTTATTAACGGATTTTTTTATAAGTAGCCCGCATGCTTGCAGCACTGCCAAGAGTATGCAATGGTTCTGAACGTGGAAATAGCTTCCTCTAATTACACAACCCTGGTTCTACCCCTGGTTTAAGCCCAAGCGGAGTGTGTGGCAGTATTCTTGGGGTTTTTTTGTGGGTCTTTTAACTGATAGTTCCAATGATGCTGAACTCTTGGCACCCAGGCTTCAAGAAGTGCCACAGATGCATGAAGCTGGGTTTTTAGTCAAAACCAGCTGTTGATTTTAATGTTGCTTAGCCTAAGTTTTCACCTGCGTGTCTTTAAAACAAAAAATACTCAAAGGTTTTGGTCCCTATTAATTTTCAGCCATTTCTTCATTGTCATCAATTAGTCAACTGAAATTAACCATCATTCTAATTTGCATTTCATGGTCATCACTCACCCCATTAGCATCTCTTTTGTTATTCTTACTGGACCACTCAGTTTCCAAAGACCTTGGAGTGAGAATGTCTACTATATTCTCCAGTTTTTCTGCCATGTTCTTTATAGTATTTAACAGAATCCTCTCGCTGACCCTAGGGCCAGCTCCACATTCAGATGCAGAGTTTCTTGAGCGTTCATCTTGCTGCAAATGAACTCGGTGCACTCGGTGAGCACAATGATGTAAATCAGATTTCACTATTTCTTCTCTTGAGCCTACAGGTGACCTAGCATTATGGTCAGGAGACTTCTGTTGCCAAGACCTTGCTGGTGTTTTTTTCCTTTTTGTTGCCATTCCTACCACAAAATCAGTCAACCCTTGGAGGCAGTGAAGACATGAGTACCAAAACCAGAACTTGCAAAAATACTCTCCAAAACATCTATTCACTGGAGCAGAAGTAGATGCTACATCTTATTCCTACATCAGCATTACTTCAGGAAGATATTTAAGCTCTCTTCTGCTATAGTTTCCACAGCACATTATCCAAAGTCATGTGACCTGCCTCTGTATCTCAGCAGCAGCGAGACACTGTGCTAACTGGAACTTCATTAGAAGGCTGTGATGTCAGCCGTTGCCATAGCTCTGCAGAGCCAGCACAGTCCCCTGGTTCTGAGCACCACTCTGGTCTGCTCCCACTGTGACACCTTTCTACAGCTAGTTCTCCATATCTGCAAACCAATGGAACTGAGGGTTTCAACTTTCCCAAAATCTGAAAGCATTCAGGTCATGGATTCCAGTCATCCATATAATATCCAATTGCCTTTGACTCTCTGATGGACCATCCTCTATGATGCAGAATAAAGTTCAAGAGGAACTTTGATTCATTTTGCTTTCTGGAGACAGAAGGCAAAAATAGGATCTCCTGTGTTCCAGGGAAGTGTCCTGAACGTGGTTTTATCTTTTAATTTCTAGATCAATGGAGATTATGGATATGATTGACAGTTTGCACTTTTGCCTTGATAGTTTTCTAAATGAAAATGATTACAAGGTTGTTTTAGTATCTGAGAAGCAAGGGGAGTCTGTAAAGAGCATTTACTGTTATGAGTTCCTTCTTGCTCATGAACAGAAGTCTCAAAGCAGTTATTTGAACTTACAGCTTAGAACAGCAAACTCCTGACAGAGCAGGGTCCACTTCACAGTCTTATACCCACAAAGTTGTTTTCACTGCCCAGGATAACACAGCTCTTCTCTGTATTTCTGTCATTAAAACTGAGCGAACAGACTGAAGTAGAATAACTACCTGTCTCCCAGTGATACAGCTAGACAAGCGTTATCTGCAACTATTTGTTCTCTTACTAGGAAATAACAATAAATCCTGAGGACTCTCTTTATAATCTTGTAAACTGTGTGTTTTCTAGCCTGAATACATGCAATCAGTTTGCATAAAAAACTGTTCAGCTGAACTTCCAGAGTTTGCCTGTTTGTTTTGATGAAATCAGGTTCTGTTTCCAGCTACAGACTAGAATGCTACAGCTAACACTACATGTACGCTCTTTTCTTCAGGAAAAAGTGTGTTGAATCTGATTTCTAATGGCTGTGTAAGTATTAGTCAGTCTGACTAATTCTGAGGGTTAAGAAGTTCTCAAAGTTCTGTTTCACCTGAGTGTATTTGGTCTCTATGCAAAGCACTTACAGAGCTCACTAGTATCTAAACAGGCATCTACAGCTCCTCCTCCAGGTTCTGCACTTCAGTCTTAAGAAAAAGAGATGTGGCAAAACAGCTCAGCTTTCTTTTAGTGCAGAAATAGCAAAGCATTAGCTTAACTGGAACACAGAAGCAGAGTGATGTGACAATGTCTTTCTACCATAGCAAATGTTTTCCCTGAGTCCCACAGCAGGAGAAGCAGCGAGAGAATTGCTTCTAATTTACCCTTCCATAGAAATAATTCCAGATTAGAATTCACCTTGTTTTAAGAATGATGTTTTGGTCACTTCCTTCTGCCACTACCATCAGACCTAGGACTATTGCATAAATGTAGCTTTCTTGCTCTCTGACAATCACTACTTATTCTGTACTGGTTTTGAAAGAAACTTAAAATTTGGGACAGTGATGCAAAGATTCCTATGACATAGGTCACATTGAAGTAAAAGCTTTGTTTTCAGCACCCCATTTACTGTCTAGCTAACTTTTGCTTAAGAAAGCTTACATATGCTGTTTATTTTTGCGTACCATGATGGTTTGCTTCCCTCCTTATTAATTTGTATTTTTTATAAGGTTTTCCATGTTTCTAATCTTTCAACCAATTTTCTACCCATGTATTTTGTTTTAATGCCCCCTGGTGGTTCTTAGCCATTCTACTGTTTTTGCATATTAAGCAACTTAATTATCACCAATTGTAAAGATGCTACATCAACAGCATCTTGTCTCTAAAAGGCAGTATGAGCAGGATTGAAGATGACTTTGATACAGAACTTTCTAATACATGTGCTCAACATTATACAAATAAATTAAGTAGAGAAGATAAATAAACACTTCCCTCCAAATTAAACACTGAAGAGCTAAGTTTAAACAATCTTATGTTAGATTAACATAAAAAATTAGTTTCCCTTTGAGTTGACAAACAGGATGCTGAGAGGTACCTGAAGTTTTCCTTTGTCACAGGTCAGTTTATTCTTGCTGTCAGTCAGCTCTGCCAGCACCTGTTGCACCTGCTGCTGGGCATACTGAGGAAAACAAAGCAATCTGTTTATTTTTGCATACCATGATGGTTTGCTTCCCTCCTTATTAATTTGTATTTTTTATAAGGTTTTCCATGTTTCTAATCTTTCAACCAATTTTCTACCCATGTATTTTGTTTTAATGCCCCCTGGTGGTTCTTAGCCATTCTACTGTTTTTGCATATTAAGCAACTTAATTATCACCAATTGTAAAGATGCTACATCAACAGCATCTTGTCTCTAAAAGGCAGTATGAGCAGGATTGAAGATGACTTTGATACAGAACTTTCTAATACATGTGCTCAACATTATACAAATAAATTAAGTAGAGAAGATAAATAAACACTTCCCTCCAAATTAAACACTGAAGAGCTAAGTTTAAACAATCTTATGTTAGATTAACATAAAAAATTAGTTTCAAAAGGCAGGGTGAGCAGGATTGAAGATGATTTTGATACAGAACTCTCTTAATACATGTGCTTGACATTATACAAATAAATTAAGTAGAGAAGGTAAATAAACACTTCCCTCCAAATTAAGTACTGAAGAGCTAAGTTTAAACAACCTTATGTTAGATTAACATAAAAAATTAGTTTCCCTTTGAGTTGACAAACAGGATGCTGAGAGGTACCTGAAGTTTTCCTTTGTCACAGGTCAGTTTATTCTTGCTGTCAGTCAGCTCTGCCAGCACCTGTTGCACCTGCTGCTGGGCATACTGAGGAAAACAAAGCAATGTCACCATGGAAAAACAAGGCAAAAAGCAACAAAAAGGTGCTCAGTGTCCTGAGTATTGTACTTTTCCTCTGTTGCTTCAGGTATAAATTTTCAGTTAGGTGAAACACTAAAACAGATTAAAAAAAACAACACAAACCAAACCACAAAAACCCATAAAAATATCCAAGTGGCATAAATTCCTCCAAAACACCTTAATCTCTAGAAGCACTACTCAAATTGGTACAAACTTCCAGATGGCTACAAGGAGGCCACTGTCCTAGAAGCACAGAAATGGAGAGGCAAAAGAAGCCTTTGGCACCAGGGAACAGAGAAGCAAAAATACTTAGAAAAACGAGAAGGCAGGAACAGAACTAAAATAACTTAGAAACACAGTAAAGAATTAAAAAAAAATATTAAGGCAACTTTTTAAGGTTTTGAATGCTCTATCTATTCATGTTCTTTAGCTGATACTGCCAAAGGAGCTCTATGTTAAAAAAGATATACAGACTAATTAACACAGAAAAGTAACTTTGACTATCAGGTAACAAACATTCAAAAGGTGTTTCAGTTAATTCTTCTTTAGCATGGTGATATCAGGGATCTCCAGCATATACAACTGGTCATCACATGCAACTTTGTAAAAAATAAATAATTTTTTAAAAATATGGTAAAAGCACTGGTTAACTCAGTGTTACTAAGCTTTTACTCAACTTTTCTGTAACTGCTCAATTATCCTGATCCAGGTGACTGAGAGTAGTGAGAAATAATGGAATGGGAACAAGTTAAACATGGGAATGAGGTCCCAAGTGTAAATTTGTTCACAAAGGGCATCAAAGTGGTGTTAATACCTTCCCAGTGCACACAAGCTGAATATATATATGTACAGATAATACAAGCTGTATACCTATACCAGAAAATGGAAAGGAGTCATAGGATTTTAATGACGTACTTGGCACTTAGGTATCTGAAGCTTTATATAGTTTTCTTAGCTCATTCCATAAGACATCTAAAAAGCTGTACTAACATTTTAGATGTCTTATCCTTTTGTTTTCATTTTTTCCTATTTTTGATTCCTTAATTTGATCAGTCATTCTCCATAAAATACAGATTATTTTAAAGAGCACCTTGATTCCTGCTACAGTTACTTATCAGTCAGGTCACATTACCTACTTTGTTAGAGGCCTACCTGCTCATGTACCAGCACGGCCAAGCGATCCAAGAGCCTCTTGTTTTCTTCCTCTAGTGTTTGCACAGTGTATTTCATTGAAACCATTTCTAGCTATGAATAAGAAAATCCAACTGCAATCATACTGCTGCAAGATTTCCACAGTCACAGCACATGAGTATCACAAAAACCTCATCACTACATAAGGATTAGGTCTCTCCTGTTTCAGCGAGCTCTTCTGCAACAGTGAAAGAACACTAAGGAACTTCTCATTTATACTAGCTTTCCTTTTCCAGGATATGCATATACAAAGCAGCTACACAGGTAAAACAGTTAGGAGAAGCTGAAAATTATTTATTATTTACCATAGTATCATAACAAACTTATTACTACAAATAGAATCTTGTGTAGGTAGCAGTAGGGTTATTGCTCTGAAAAAGACATCCATATTGACCAGAAAAATATCAAAAGCAAAGTGAACAATATGTCTATGGTAAATATTACATTATTTAGAAATAATTTAGTTAAGAGAGAGTAAGCAAAATGAAAGGAAAACATAGAGAAAGACAACATTAAATTTAAAGAACAGCCATGTATATATTGCGAGATACCTCATTCTCTGTTTTTTCAACTTGCAATTTGTTCTTTTCCTGTATTATTTCATCTGCTGTTGTCCTTATCTGTCAAAACAAATGTGAAATCATTGTCACCCGAAAATGGCCAGATTCATAGAAATACTACATATCTTCAGAACAGTTGATCTGAAGGTTGCAAGTCAACTCTGAAGTTCAGAAAGAGTATCTGCAGAGCTGTCTAATCCTCCCTCCCTTTTCATGCTTCAGAGAGGAGACTCAAGTCTCCTAGCTCAAGTAAAAATATAAGCATAGTGGGAAAGGGGAGAGTGTGTCACCTTGACCACTGCAATAACAAAAAATAATAATTCTGAAAGCAAAACTGGTATGTAAATAGGAAAGCTACCAATGTGGATCTGAGAGCAGCCTTCAAGAATTTAGCTTCAAAACACTAAGTTGTCTGTACCTCCTGTTGAAGAACTTCCTTTTCTGCCAGCAGAGATCCTTTTTCTTGCAAAGCTGCCTCAAGTTCACCTTGCAGTCTAGAAACAGTACATTCCAAAAGCTGTCTCTGTGTGGCTGCTGCCTCCTCAGCAAGGCTTGCTTTCTGCCTGCATTTGCCATGCTCTGTACACAAGGTCTCCCTAAAGAAAAGACAAAATAGCCAAGCTGGAGTTCTAGCACAACCAAAGGACAGAAGACGGCCTCTGTATTAAATACCAAAATGGCCCTTCTGTGTTAGTAACAAGTGCTAGAGAAGCAGAAATAAAGGTGGTGAGAATGCAATGGAGAAAAGGGAGACAGAGGCTGCAGACTAGACAGTTCCTCACAGCTCTCTTTGAAGTTGAGCCCTCTCATGCTGCACACTCTGCAGCTCCCCGAGAACGTTGGCATGGGCAGCAGTCAGCAGCAAGTCTTGCTCTTGCAGCTTGCAGGTCTTTTCTTGTTCTGCCTAAAGGGGAAAAATTACCCAGCCAATAACACTAACATCAGAATGATGAGGGATGAGTAATTAATTCACAAAGCTATTAATTTGTCATTAAGCTCCTCCATCATCCCTATAGCTCTGCTTATTGTGGTGTGCTGCTTGTTGAATAGGGTGTCAAAGCCGAGTTCACTTTACCTAGCTTTTGTATATGTATTTAATATCAAATCCTTATTACTTCCACTCAGCTTCTGCATTTATAGTATTTACAATGCTCATTAATTCCTATGTTCCTCTTTCTCAGTGGTTGTTACAGGATGCTTCTATAAACAGCATTACTGTATTTACACTCTTTCTCTATAACATACGTTTTTTTTTTTCTGTACTGAAAATAAATCTAGGACACTTTTTTTTTTTTTTTTTACCACCTTTATAGAACTTCCATTGCTATCCATAAAGTATTTTCCTGTATTTCCATGGATTAGCAGTATTAGGAATTAGTCTGTTGTCTGATAGCTGAGCGGCAGACAACTTTCTCGGACTGTAATAGTAGGCTACATACCTTAAGCTCAGTCTGATGATCTGAAATGAGTTTAGCATTCTCCATGACAACACTTTGGAGTGTGGTGCTGAGCTCTGAGCATTGCTGGCTTAAGTGGTCATTAAGGACCTGGTGAGGAGGAGGAGGATGAAAAACAAGTTTTCAGTGTTTCAGCGGGTTTTTTTCTGCATAGTTGGCTGTCAGAAACTTTTTTAAAATCTCTTGCAGACACAGAAAAATCCATTTTAGGTAGAAACTAAAAAAAATTTGTTCAGGCAGTCCCAATTTATGATAGTCTTATTCCAGGGTGTTAAAAGTTTACAGTAATGGGGAGAAAAGAGAACATAGTTTAAACTACCAATCAAGCATAATAACTTACTAGTTTTGAACTCCAGAGAAAAAGTAATGTTTCTAGGGTAAAGGCGGCAAAAGTTGAAAATGGAGCCCTACTAATTTCATAGTTGAGTTATTGTAGATAACCGAAGAAAAATGGAACTTTCTGTGAAAGACATATCCAAATCCCATTACCAGTGAACACCACCCAATAAGCAAGTATCTATTGGGGGGGGTAGGGGAAAAACAGAAAAATGTTTTCTAAAATATGCTCTAAAAAGAGGGGAAGTAGAATAAATAAATTTTTTTAGAATATACGGAGGTAAACCTTTTGTGCCAAAAGGCACAGGAAATTTTAGCCAAGTGGGTACTCCCTATTTGACTAATTAATAGAAACATATTCATGTAGAATCTAAAGGTGCAAAGGAATATAAATCTACTACTTCAAGGGAAGATAGGAGAGGAAGCAGCAGCAGTTCTGCATGTCCTAACTACTCAAGAAGACACTTTAAAAAAAAGCTGATTCAAAATAAGTTTTGGGAAGAAAACTTCCCAGCCTTAAGGCTGGGAAATCTGGAACAGTCACCTAGGCTAGTGACTGAATTCCTTCACTGCAAGTTGTTCATTAGCCTGCGTTACCTGAGGGCACTAAACTTTGTCTCCTGACCAAACTTTGTCTCCTGACCTGCATTAGAGGCTTCCTAGTAAATGTATAATCATTTCTCACTGTAATCACTTGTTTTGTTATACTTTAATTCCATTTTAAAAACAAGAATAGCTGTTCTCATTACCTGTACTTTCTCTGCTGTTTCTCGTAGGGCAACCATTTGAGACTGAAGTTGAAGGTTCTCTTTGCGTTGTTTGCTAAAGGACAGCTGTGCACTCTAAGGGGAAATAAAAGAGAATGTCCACTGAGAAAAAAATTAAATGTCATTTAGGCAGGTACATCACAACTATCAAGTCTTTGTTTCATACTTGCCTCTTTTCTTTAAAGTAATGTCACATGGCTATGTGCTCTTGCAAGTACTGGACACAGTTCCTATAGGACAAGCCTCTTTCCAAAATATACCTTGAAGTAATAACCAAAGTGCTACCTGCTCTTAAAGTTGAGAGTGACTTCATATACTTCTGAGCTCAGACTCACTAGTCTCCACTATAACTCATCTCAGTACTTCTGAACTTAAAAGATCTCCCTGCCAGAAGTGGAACAATTCACAATTGTGCTGGGCCAGTGCTGTGAGACTCCACATCTAAGTTGAACTTTTATCGCTACAGAAACTTACTCTTTCAGATAAAACTTCAGACAGGGCACACAGTCCCTACCTAGGCAGTAAGCATACCTCTGAGCCCATTTAGCACCCAGTTGACTAAGGTACTGACTTTTCTGTAGTATTAATCACCACTCCACCTATTTGTCTCTTTTGTATAGAATGCCTGTGCGACCACAACTGTGTTTTGTGGTCAGTTCTAGCTTTCCAAGGCAGGCACTCAAATCACTGTTTTGATATTTCAGTAGAATACAAAAGTTAATCTTTCGAAAAATAAGTAGGGCAAACCCAAACTTGTAAAATAATAAAATAAGACATTCAGTAGTTATAACCTTGGACACATTTGGCATTTGTCCTCATAAAAATTCTGCCTCTGAAGTATGGCATGTTTGAAAGGCCCCATATAGGCCATTCTGATCTTTATTTAGCTGTTTTCCTCACCAATACTTGTATAAAACTTACTTTTGCTTCTTCACCAAGCTGGGAAATGATACAGTTCCTGGAGTCTAAAAATAGAAAAGAACATCAGGACATGCTTTGTTATCAGTTGGGTAATTTTAAAAGGTGATGTTTTGATTTAATGTTTGAGTTTAGCTAAGTTACAGAATATGCCACAAACAAGTAAGGTTTCTACAAATGCCTTGTTCTTTAACACTTTTCTTGACAGCTTCAGTATTTCAGCAAAATTACTTTTAAAAATTCATTCCATAAATTGTATTTTGTTTAATTTTAGAATTAAGCATGCCATCATGCCAATTTCCTACACATACCACTTCTGTGATTGCTTGAGCAAATCAAACAACCTTAAGTCTCTCACTCAGCTGCCTACTGTGCAAGCTACTGATCTGTCTTGACTATAACCCACAGCCCATATTCAACTTCACAAGTTTTTGTGCGTTGACAAACAACAATAGTAAGATCCCTGCTTAAAACTTACAGATCTAAAAGCAGAAGCATTTTTGTTGGAATTTGAATCAACCCGCATATAATAACTAGCCTTTTATTCTGCTGTGCTGTATAATATACTGTAACAACAACAAAAAAAAAAAAAAAGGAAGACAACAAGAGACAATTCAGCATCACCAGGGTAGGGAGGGAAACCTAGCCAAAAATATTATGACATCTATGACATCCAAGGTATCATTAAAGGATCACTCAAAAGTTCCTTCAATTAACAAAGGGAAAAAGCAAGATTAGTTGATACAGAAGTAAAGAAAATTTGTATGTCTCATTTAAATTTCTCATTTGCACATGGATTTGTTCTGAGGGAAAGAATTCTTCTGGAATCATTATCCCCCATTCAGCCAACTCTGCCACAACATAACAAGTTTCTCTCCTCTTGCTGTTCCTTACACAGAAAGGCTGGATGCCTTTTGTGAGCTACAGGTTAATTATCGCCTGTGTGGTTTGCAGAATAACAAACAAAATATATGGGAAACAGGAACACTTCTGTAAAAGGAGCAGCTAGAAATCTGAAATAGGTCCTGAGGGAAGGATCCCAATAAAATAATTACACTGGGGTTTAGGCATGGTTACCGTGAGTTATTTGGGAATAAGGAATAGACTTTAGGTTAGGAATATTTACCTTTAATTTTGACAATATGGGGTTTCCCCCTACCCTGGAGTGCATTACATGCCACTAAGCTCCCTTACAAGCAGCTATTTTCACATTAATAGACTGGGAATCTAAATGAGATCATCTAGAGGCTTATCCAAGATGCTTGTCCTTATACTGATATTTAATAGAGCATATTTTTTAATTGGCTGCAAAAAGATTCACTAGCATTGGGCATTCTACTTGCACATCCATTCAGGAATCATGTGTTAATGGCTATTTGCTAGATGACGTCTCCTCTGAAAAGAATTTATGCTGATGGAATTTTTCCACACTATTGTTGTGCATTCATTAGCCTGATTACTACTGTTGCCAGTTTCCTCTAAGTAAGAAAAGGCTTTAGAAATGTCACGTGCAAACACCTTCAATATTTCATCACCCCTTAAGCTGCTCTCCATTCCTGTTGACTGATACACCTGCCACAGGTCTGGAGGATCTCAGTGCTTGTTTCCTAAAAAAGGATAAAAAGATACGACATGAACCCACTGTCATACCCAGCTCAGCTTTCAGCTGCGTGCACTGTTGCTCCAGTTGGGCAGCTCTTTCCTCCTCCTCTTGCAGCTTAACTTGGGCGAGCTGGACATCTTTACGCAAATCCTGGCAGTCCTGCTGTAACAGCTGTACCTGCAGTAATATCACAGATTATTCTTTAAGATGCAGAATTCAGTCAGGCAAACATAAGCAAATTTCAGAGCCTGAAAAGTTGATCTGATTGGAAAAGATACAGCCTGAACAACTTCTCCGCTTTCTGCTTGTCCAAATCTTATGCAGATGACTTCTATAGCAAGCTCGTCAATTTCTGTATGTAACGCAGTGTGTGTGTGCTTACAGTCATCTTTATATGATAGGCAGAAACTAACAAGTTTTCAGAATTGAAGACAATAGAAAAGATCAAGCTGTAAAAGATGAAGGTGAATGCAACACTCAAGGCACATAGCAAGTCAATCTCATGCCATTCGGTGAGGATATTTTTTTTTTTTAACACTAATAAATATACCACTGGGTCAACTATACCTATCCAAAAGTGATAGATGAATTAAACTAAGCCTTTGCCTCTCACATGATGAACTATAATTCATATAGTTCAATAATGTATCCATCATTTTTCCACTTCTGTAGAAGAACCTAAAGATGATAAAAGGCACGTAGGAAAAAAATCCAGTAATTTCAGAACTTTGTATGTTTCAGGAACAAAGAGACCTTGATGATCATAACAAAATTAAAAAAAAAACCTCTTTAGTTATTCAAGTTATGATACTTTGCTACTCGCTTTCTTTTATCCTCACTAAATTGTTGCTATGAATTCAGAGTGTTAGAGTGACTGCACGGTGTGCGTGTGTGTATACACATGAAGAGAGGGAGATTGGTTTTGTTTATTTGAATCATATTAAGACAGTTCATTTCTACCATGAACTATGGTCCCTCCTCAATCATGACACCTCAGTTACAGAGACTTGTTTAGCCTGGTGAAGAAGACATTAGGGCAGGATCCAGTTGTTGCCCACAATTCTGAGAGGTAGTTACAAAGATTATGAAGTCAAACTCTTTTTAGTTGTACTGAATGATTTAAGAAGGGGCAATGGCTTCAAATTTAAGCTTGGAATGTTCAGATTGGGTGCTAGAAAAAAAAGATCTTGATTAAAAAAAATACCTAAACCAGCCCTGGAATCACAGTCCTTGAACTCTGCTAGACAAAACTACCACTGCCCTAATCCAGTCTTTGTGATACTCCTACTTTGAGCAGGAAGTTTGACTACATGATCTCTTCTGATCAATGTTTGTACAAAATGTTGTAGTTAGTGTTTTAACTAGTTTCTAGCAACGACGTTCAAGTTCTTGCTCTTCCTCCCAGATGAGAAAATGAAAATAAACATAAAAGAAGCCAGAAAGTTTCTAAAACCTGCTTCCGTTCTGCTTCTACTGTTGTTTCCATGTCCTGTACATGACACATCACAGTTGCTTGGGACTCCTCCAAAGACTCCCGCAGGCTGATCTCCTGGGACAGCTGTTCTGTTAGCTAGAAAAAAGAAACACTTTCTGACCCAGGTCTAACTAAGCAGATTGAACAAATACTTTGAGATCATATATAAAAGATAATCTGTCTGGGCACTTAGTTATGAGCATGACTGACAGGTTCCTTTGAGTTGTGCACATTCCAAAACTGTACCCAAAATAGTATTTAAGGATCTTCTTTAAATAACACTTGGAAAATTCTGCCTCCTACTAAGCTCCTTGCTCTTGTACTTACCTCCTGAAGTCTACAGTTAATTTTCTGTTTTGTGTTCCTCAGCTCCTTAGCTGCAATCGCTGCATCCATCTAAAGCAGATGAAAGAAACAGTTATTTTTATCCTTTCATGTTTGTAACTATTGCAAAAGCCATAGGTATTATGTAACTGCCACACTAACACCTAGAACTTGATTTCTATCTCCAGTCTGATGTTCTCTGTTCTGAAGCACTGAATATAAGAGTGCAAGCACTAAGAAGCAATGCATCCTTTAATACAATCAATGAGACTGAGTGACATACTCCACTGAAGTTCTCTTCCAAAAGTGTAGGACTGAAATCCAGAGAAATAAAAGTTCCTGGAAAAACAGAAAAGTTATTGAGAACTCTATGCACAAAAGCTAGGATGAACTTAAGTCATGAAGATGAGAGAATTACAAGTCTCAAATATTTTTATTCTTGATTTGCTTGCTTTTTTTTTTTTAATTGCTGGAAGCACAGATTCTCATTATCAAAAGTATTTGCTCTTACTGCCAACAATGTATCATAAACTTCTTTTTCCAGTTGAGTATACTTTCTGTTTAACTATGTCAGAAACAAACGTACTTAAAAACAAGTCTTTTAATGCTTGAAACTATAAGAAGACCATAAACTTTTGTACCTTGGATGCAGTTGCAATCTCCAGAGCAGTGCTCAGTCTCTGAACTTCTTCTTTTGCCTTTTCTTCAGCCTCTTTCATATCACTTAGGTGTTGGCGCAACTTCATTGCTTCTTGCTGTACAATCTTCATTTCTTGCAAATGCTCCTCATGGATTGCATTCAGGCGCTGCTCCAACTGGGCTGCCAGGAAAAGGCAAAAAATTTTCATTGTCAGAAAACGCATATGGAGGGACAATGAACAAAGTGGTAAAAGAACCAACTTTTCTACTACCTGCATGCTTTGGATTCATTTCCTTTTCTGTCTGCAGACGGAAGATGTTTAATTTCAGTGTCTGTACAACACTCTCTAACCGACACATTCGATTCACCAGTGTTTCACAGTTTCTCCACAGCGTATTTTCTCCCACAAACGCTACCCTGGCCTGCACAGGGCTAATGGCTGGGTGACTAGCAGGTGTTTCTGAGGTCTTTGAGTGGAAATGATCAAGGCTGAAAAGGAGAAAAGACTGGTCTACTCCATGCACACCTACTCGACATTGCACATAAGCACTACAGATGGAATTAGATTAGAAACCACATTTCATAGAGCTGGAAGGTTTCCTGTGACACAAGGTTGCTGCAGCCCGTTTTTGCTGACTCTGCCAGTACCAGCTCCCTCACAGCGAGAAGAGCAAAGCACGGCAAGTGGCTGCAAGGAGGAATAATATCAGGAAAATCAAGGAAAGCGTGAGCTCTCCAGGAAGGAAAAAGCTTACCCCTGCTTTGTCCCTACCTCTGCCCATCGACGCCAAGCGCCTCCAGGTCTCGCACCAGCGTGTTGGTTTGCTCTTCCACCACCCTCATTCTCAGGTGGAGCACCATGAAGGCCTCTGGCGCGGTTGCCCTGACGCTGGTGGGGATGATGGTTGGCCTGGCCATGGCTCCCTCTCCCGCCCTGAGGAAACCCGCACCGGCCATACCTGAGGCAAGCCACCCTGGGCCTGCGACACCCCGCCCACCGGCCGGCCACCCCCTTCCCGCAAACCGCCGCTCCCCCCTCCACACCCACAAGTGACCACCGCCATGGTGCCCCCTCCACACCCATAACCAGTCACCGCCATGGCGTCCCCTCCACACCCCCAACCAGCCACCGCCATGGTGACCCCCACACACCCCCAACGGCCGCCATAGCGCTCCCCCCTCTTCAAACCCACCCGCTCCCCGCACGGCCAGCCCCGCATGCGCGCCCAGGCTGCGGCGCCCGTCCAGAACCTGGGACAAGGCACCCCGGGGGCAGCGCATGCGCAGCAGGCTGGCCCCATGGCATGCTGGGAGCTGTAGTCCCATCCCGCCCACGCCTTCCACCCCCCCAACCTCTTTCGGCGGGACAGCGGTTTATAAGCGAAGTGGCGTGAGGTGGCGGTGGCGAGTGGGTGCCACGGGAGTCCGCCTTCACCCTCCGGTGTCAGGGTGCACCCTGGTAAGCGGCGTCCCTGTGATTTGCGCGGAAGACTCTGCTCCTCCTCCTCCTTCCTCTTTCCCTTCCCTCGGCCCCGCCCCGCCGCGCAGCTCGCGCCCCGCCCCGCCGCGCAGCTCGCGCCCCGCCCTCACACCTCGCCGGCTTCGGCAGCCGCCGCCTCCCGGCCGCGGGGCTTTCCCCTGCTCCGCCGCCTTCCTTCCCCCCGCCTCGCCCCTCCACGCTGCGGTCAGAGGCGACGGGGGGCTCCCCGGGGCGGCGGGTGTCGACCCTCGGCCGGGCCCTGAGGAGGGAGGCGAGGCGGGGGGCTGCCTGAGGCGCGGGGCGCGCGCCCGTCCCAGAGCGGGCGGAGCGCGCGGCTGCACCGTGAGGGGCTTCAGTAGCGCCCCGGGAATTGCGCGTTCCTTGCTTTTCATGCATAGACAGCTCCGGCAGCAAAGCACGTTTTACAACAAAACGCTGAGGTATTTTAACGTTTGGAGGGGTTTGAAGGGCTCAAACCTCTGTAGGGAGGGTGCTCTGCAGGAGCACGCCATGTGGGCTAATGATATGGGTTGGAAGGGGCCTCTGGAGATCATCTAGTCCAACCCCCTGCCAAAGCAGGTCTACCCAGAGCAGGTTGCACAGGAACGTGTCCAGGTGGGTTTTGAGTGTCTCCAGAGATGGAGACTCCACCACCTCCCTGGGCAGCTTGTTCCAGTGCTCTGGCACTCTCGAAGAAGTTCCTCCTCATGTTTAGGTGGAACTTCTCATATTCAAGTTTGTGCCCATTTCCCCTTGTCCCATCACTGGGCACCACTGAAAAAAGACTGGCCCCATCCTCTTGACACCCACCCTCTTAGTATTTATAGGTGTTGATTCCCCCTCAGTCCTCTCTAGACTAAAAAGACCCAAGTCCGTCAGCCTCTCCTTGTAAGGGAGATGCTCCAGGCCCCTAATCATCTTTGTAGCCCTCTGCTGTAGATATATATATATAAAAATACTAAAAAGGCAGCAGTCTGCTTTTCAACATTGTTTTCCCTTTGCAATTTACTGTATATCAAATGACACATTAACTTTGGGCTGTAAGCAGACATAGCGTTGCATACTTAACGGGCACACGGTCATTTAATGCAGATCAGCAGTCTTACTGAGTTACGCTGCCTTCACTGTGCATCTGAAGGTATCAGTCCGCTGAAAACATACCACTTTGTTTTACTGAGTTTTGTTTTTATACAGACAGGGGAAACTGACTTGGTAGCCTCCCGGTTAAAACATACAGCTGTAAAAGTGGGTATGTGGTGCCTGGAGAAGGCATCAGGTAACAATGCTGCAACCAGTAGGCATTAGATATTCTAGGGACTCAAGAAAAGGTATTTAAGATATCGATACTAGAGACTTAGGATCTCCTTTTCACTTTTGGCAGCTCGTCTGACTTCTGAGGGGCATCAGTGGACAATTTAACTCTTCCTGTGCATTGAACAGGAAACATGAGCACCTAATTCCCAGCTGAGTGTTTTGCACAGGCTGCAGAACATCTGCAATCAAGCATCATTCAGCATGCAGTGTGGCAACATCTAAATACCTGTGACCTGGGGTCAGCTTTGCCTGGAGCTTCTAATATGCTGAGGTAATACATGTTTGGGGTGAGCTGGTTTGTAGGGCATGTTGAGATCATATATCTCTGGAAGTGAAAAGTAGATTTTAAAAAATTTGGTATCTATCTGTAGATGGCAGCAGAGAGGAATGATATTTATTGGAACATCTAAATATGGTGACTACGCATTTTATAATTTATGCAACTGCAGCTGGTGGCTGTCCGTTAATGCTGAAAATTTTGTATTCTGTTGATGAATATAATTGTTTTAATTTAAGGATTTTTTGGCATGACTTTTATTTTGGAGGAGGAGTTGCAGCTTTTCTGAGCAAAGAGTGTGACACTGCAGACAGGCCAACAGTGCCTTCGACCAATAATGTGTGTGTAATAAAAAGATGCTCAGCTGATGTAAAGCTGTCATTGCTCCACTTGAGAATCTGCTCCAGGAAGCCTTTGCCTGGGGGATGTTGCCAGGAGGCTTGTGAAGAAACGTGGGATGTGAGGGAATATAAAGATCAGTAGAGAAAAAGGAGATTAAAAACATTAAATTAAGTAACTCTTAAGCTTCTCACCTAATGAAGAGATGTATAAATAACATTGAATTTTTAAAGTAGCATTGGTTTTATTGTGTAGTTTCTCAGTAACTGCTGGTGTTGCACTCGGGCTGTTCTTTTCATCAGAGGTTGTCGATGAAATGGCAATGTAGGGATGCCTAGTGTATGCAATGGAATAGGATGTGCACAAGTGAGAACATAAAAGAGCAACTGATATGTAGGTCAAATGGAAACTATTTCAGAAATCCTTTCATGAGCTGAGGTAGGATAACAATATTTGACAGAAAGATAGTTAATTTTGAAGACACCGTATAAATTTTAAAACAAACATCAAATACTGTTCTTAGTTTAGTTGGCACTAAACTAACTGATTGATCTGAGCTTTTTTATTCACGTTCTTTATTTTATTTTCAGAAGCTGGTTAGTTCAATGAGTGACTTCATATAAAAAATGTAGGAGTAAAACGTATACATCAAACTGTCTGTAGCATGTTTTTGACGGGAAACTTTTAAGGAGACGATTGGGATCAAAGAACTGAGTGTTGAAAGCAGAAGCTAAACAATGTGATGTCCTTTTCTGCTCCAAATATCCTGCTTAAAAATTTTGCAGGAGTATTCCAAATAATCTAAAAATTATATTGTCTTTTATTTTTAATATTATTTCTATGGCAGTTGGAGATGGGGCAGGCAAGTACATCATGAGGGCAGACCACCTACTTTTTTCTTCAAATCAGTATCACCTCCTCCATAGTTTGACTCCTACATATATGCCTGGTGGAATCATCATTGCCACACAAAGTTCCAAGTTTAAGAGCACAGGTATAATTTTTTTTTTCTTACCAAAACACCTGTGCTTTAGCAGCTCACATATCTCTGTAAAACATGTAAAATAATGGATAATTCATATAATGTTTTTATAATTTCAGCAGTTTTATGGCTTCAGTGTATTTTTGTATATTGTCGCCAACCAGCTTTTCAGTTTGATTTCAAATTTTTCAGGGATTGGGAAGTTTTTCCATACTCCGATAGAGCTCACTGCTTAAAGGTGCCATTACATTTTCCTTTACTGTAATGACATTTCCGTTAGCTATAGCCTTTTTACTATTCTCATAATTTCTTTTAATTACTTCTTAGATTTCCCATGTATTTGTAGATAATTATGTGCTACAACTATCATTAGTTAGTAAAAGTTTTATTCCAGCGTATGTAAAATACTTTCCTCCTTCGTGGTTTTGTTGATCTTTCTAGAATTCCTTCTACTGTTTCGTGGTAGGGCTGAAGTCTTTGTTCAAGGTGGAGTCTGAGCTGCCAGCACTTCTGCAGTGCTTGTCGTTAGAATTCTTTTCATCTCACTCTTACTTGCTTATGCAGCACGCTTTGGTATGAAGGCAAATCAGAGAGCAAACACTAGTACAGAGATCTCTATTTTGGATTCCTTGGATGATATGAGAGAATGCTGCAGCAGTAGGTGGAACATGCACGTTTGAATTGAGAGGTGAGATAAATCAAATCTGCTAATTGGATCTGCTAAATTGTTTGTCTGTCCAAGTTAGCATTCTGCAAAGGAAGGTACTTTGTGGGAGTAAGAGCCTCAATCCTATACTATCACTGCTGTAAGTCTGCTTTCCTCAAGTGTTGCTTTGATAAGTTTGTCCCCTTCTAAATTGCCCTTTTTTATTGCATCCAATACAAGCTGTAGAAATTGTTAGCTGAAAGTTTCCTCTTCAGAACCCTTCATGATTTTTCTTCGTCCTCTCTGGTATGTTTTATCATTAATGAGATACTAACCCCTGAGTTTGCTTGGCCCATGCTGCAGGACTCCCATATACTTTAATTCTCATACAAGCACATATGTGTGTTTTGGATTTTTTTTTAATTCTCAAACTTCAATGCTTAGAAGGGTATCAACATAAATATGCTCTTTGATCTGTCCTTAAAACTCTCCTCACTGTTACGTCTGCAAAACCTGGTAAGAGATCAGATTATCAGCGTATTTCAACCACTGTGGTGGTTTACTGGCAATAACTCTGCTTTGTGCTGCCCAGTCTGTTTGCATCCATCTGTTCTTTGTAGCAACCTGTCAGATCTTTAGGAAAGCTGGAGACCAGCTTTTGAGTAGAGTGTCATGAAAAGATCATCCCTGGCTTAGTGTTATTAGCTGCTATAGAGTCTTACAGTAAGTATATTATTAGATGTATTACATAATAATATAGCATTGTAAGTATTCTATATAACATATTTTTTCCTCCTTATGCTGCCAGTATTGATAATCCTTATTTTCTATACCAGATAAAGAACGTTGTTCTGTTTTTATCTCTCTCTGCTTACCTGCCTCTGATCCGCCATCCTTTTCTCCTCCTCCCTTTTTCTATCGTGAACTAACAAAATATTACTTTAGTTTGACAGCTTTGTCTGAGACAAGGAGGGATAATAGTAAAAAATGCAGGTAGACAATAGCAGAATCCTTAGATATCCAACCCGAGTGTTAAATCAGTACTGCTGACAGAAATTAATCTCTTTTTTTGGGGTATAGGTATAGGAATGTTTATGCGAACCAGTGAACACAAAGTTTATGTTTCATTGAAAATGATACTATGTTAAAATATTAATCATCATAAGGCCACTTTTGTTTTTCAGCTTCCTACTTATCTTGTCATTTTTACAGCAACGTAAAATTAATATACAATGCTAATACACTGATTTATTTCATACGGTGTAGACCAGAGCAAAAGAAAATATGGATTAGGCTTTCAGGTACCTAAACATTTAGGCACTGTCTAGTGCCCATTTAGATATCGCAGGCTACTGAAGATATTCTCACAGGGCTAACAGATGTCATGCAAAACGTAAGGGGGTTCCAAGCCAAGGGAAGTCAGCTGGGATACTTCAGGTTGTCTAAAATGGTACTAGACACCTCTCTGT